TTATGATATAAATTGATGATGAAATTTATGATATAAATTGATGATGATGAAATTTATATCATGAATTGAAGCATTCAAAATTATTCCCTTTTTTGTCGTATGAACTTCGGTTTTCGTTATATGAGAGAAGGTTCACAAATTGCCAAAGCCGGTGCAAAGTTTTGATACCAATGCCGAAATACCATTACTTAGTCACTCTTGCTCAGAAATTTTGAAAATTGCAATTTTTTTTTGCAAGTAAGGAGGTGTCGAAGAAGTGGACCAATCTGAACTATTCAAAACACGTCACTGGCCCCGATTTCATCAAAATATCTCAAAAATTGCGACCTGCATACGGCAGACATCGGACAGACATACGGAGAGATAGGCTTAGATCAATTCGGATTACAACTCTGAATTGATCGGTATAATGAAAAGTTGGTTTACCGTAAGCCCATCTGCGTGTTACATTACGTCCGCCCTAACTCAATATACGCTGCTGTACCACCACAAGTGGCGTAGGCTATAAAAAATCTCTTGTTAATGACAACTACTTCTACTCATTTCAAAGCCTATAAAAACTTCCCATTACTTATTTTCCCACATGTTCATGTTTTACAATAGTTTATAAACTTATTTATCATTATAAGAACACAAAAAAAAAAAAAAAAAAGGTGGGCGTTAAATAATCAAAAGTACAAAGACATAAAAAGCATTTTATGCAGTAGAGTGGAAAGTTAAAATTAAATAACCATTTGGTCCCATAAAAGCGAATACTTTGCTATACATTTGTATTCCGAGCATTTATCACATTTATACATATTTGTACACATTGTTCGATATCAGCTTGATTTTCGCATACACAACCGTAAATAAAAGTTGTTTACAAATTCGATAAAAGGAAAAGTGAGAGGAGGCGCACAATAATAAGCAGAAACCCTAACGAATTCCTTAGTTTACAATAAACGTATTTGCATATAAGCTAACGATAGATAGATAGTCTGTGCTAAGTCCAATTGATATTGAAAATGTTCTAGAATAACACGATTTTCAGATGCAAAAAATCAATGAACAAGAAATAGTTTGTCAAAACGAAGAAATCTTGACGAGACCCTAAACAAAATATGCATATATTTGATCAAAATCAGATCTTGGAGCGACTTCTTAAGCAAGTCCGTCTGTCCGTCCATTTAATGCGCGCGGTAAATATTCTGCTGGCCACGCAGCTGACCTACCAACCAATCGCTTAGGCATTAGGCAACACGCAGAAGACATGTTGACGAGACCCTACCAAAAATATGCATATATTTGATCAAAATCAGATTTTGAAGCGACTTATAAGCATGTCCTTCTGTCCGTCCATTTAATGCGCGCGGTAAATATTCTCCTGGCCGCGCACCTGACCTACCAAGCCATCGCTTGGGCATTAGGCAACACCCAGAAGACATGTTGACGAGACCCTACACAAAATATGCATATATTTGATCAAAATCAGATTTTGAAGCGATTTCTTCAGCATGCCTGTCTGTCCGTCCGAGCTGACCTACAAAACTATCGTCTTTAAATTTTGCAACACCCAGAAGAAAGCTTGATGAGAAGCTACATAAAACATGCATATCAAATTTTGAATCGACTTAAGCATGTCCGTCTGTCCGTCTATTCAATGCATGCTGTAATGCATGGCCGCGGAGATGAGCTACAAAGCTATCGCCTTTAAATTTGCCTGAAATAATGAAAGTTCTTGCCAACGGGTTAATACCAAAAATGAACTGAATCGATCGAAAAGCATTACAAGTCCACAGTACCATGTAAACTGAGAATACCTCTGTTGTCCAAAGAAAAAAGATTCTTTTTTTTGCCTATTACTTGTAAAGTGCACTGACATTCTATGGGTGGAGTTATAGTACCACATAAAAAAATGGAAAAACTCGGATTTTCAATTTTTTTTTTGTCAAAGACTTTATAACTCCCAAAAAGGAACTTCAAAAATAGCGTAATGTGTGTATGCCCTTTACCCGTGTCAAATTCACACTACACCCACGCATTTCGGTCGGTTTGACTGTCTAACTTTATAGTATAGTATAGTGGCCGTCAGCGAAATTGAAAATATCAGTTAAAAATTTGCGAAAGATTTTGAAAATGACATAAACTCTTCAAAGAATACGCCTACAACACCCACACGCTTAGGCTATGCAACAAAGAATCCCTTCGCTAACTGTGTGTGCGTTTGTTCGTTACTTATAAAATACAACAAATACACGGCGCATATGCCAAATTTTATTCTAAAAAATAGAAGAAACCACCCACGCCCACCCAACGTTATAGAGTATGAAAATTCCTTTTCTTTTACCGCTTTTTAGAATAACGATGACGGGTGTAAAAGATTCGACCACAAACGAATATAATTTTCTTATTTTGCTTATAGATACCAGTAACGTGATATTATCTTTTTATAAAGCGTCCATTCTTTACTTAAAAAGGCTTCTTTAGACTAGATTTTGTACAAAGTCCAGCATCAGGGGGACTTTTAACGCCCTCTTATTACAAATGGACATCCAAGCAGAAGACAGTACAGGAGAGAGAGGATCTGCGTATACCCTAACAGCCCAGCCACCTTAAAGTCCCCAATTGGGCGAATGACAACATCCAAGCTGGTGTTGGAGTGCCTTCAAACACTGAATGACCGAGGCCGGCACAATAATGGGCAACTAATTTGAATGCCTGGACGTTCGGGTGTTGAGAGAAGCGAAAGGCCTGAATGTCTAGCTAACTGGGGAGCACGAGAAGCCACTGTAGGTCCTAAACGCCTTAGAGCTGCTAGGTGTGTCTGCAATTAATCAATCCTTCAGTTAATACTAATCTGTCAGGCTACAATAACCTCTTTACCCAAGCTAAATGCATTTTGTTAGCCCACCTTAGAGTAAATAAGAATTTATTCAATACCAAATATTACTGTAAACGTGTTGGATCTGCCAAATGCTTGCTTATCTTATAATGTCTCCGTTTTTTGTCGGACCTATTTGGCGGGCATGTTCACTATCGAAAATTAACGAATCCCTTGAGAATATATTTGAATGTTCATGAGCAGATGTGATTCCGAGAATCCAACTCGACGACATTTTCTATATTCCGTTAATTGTGCGCCTAACCTTATAACTTCAGATCATCAGATAGGCGCATATGATCTAGTCATCCGGCGCCTTTCATTCATATTTTGTTGATAAATTTATTAATAGATAAATAAAATTATCCCTTACTAAACTAGACTAAAGCACGACTTCTTTCCTTATCGGGACTAAAGTTACTTTGAATATTTTTTAAATATTATTTTCAAGTCATTTAACCAACTTCCGCAGAGATTTTAATTTATAATAGCTATACGGTTAGTTAATTTTAAAGACTTTTCCCACTTCATGCGTGCCGACCTTTAATACAATCAGATGGGTATACAGATGTTTTACAAGAGAATGAAATTCATTGTTCATATTCTCATGCTTTACTTTTTCATTGTACGCTACTCCACTTGCGGCACAGGTTATATTAAGTTTTTGCGGACGTATGCAACACCCAGAAGGGCTTAAGGCAAATTCACCTATTATTATGCCGATCTAATCGTAATGTGAATTGATCTAAGCCCGTCTGTCTGTCCGTCCATGTGAATCTGTGTTCTCGCCACAGGTCGCATTTTTTTGAGATAGTTTGATAAAATTTTGTACGATGACGTGCTTTGACCCAAGGCTGGTTCCTTTTTCGACCTATTCTGAGAAGTCGTTATATGGAAAATAATTGAAATTTTCAAAATTTCTCGACAGATCTGACTATGTAATAATACTTTGGCATTTCACATTGCTGTGCAAACTTTGGCTGAGAGAATATTTTGAAAGACCCTCTCATATAACGGTTCCAACGAAAGTGGAACGTTTTGTATAATAAAAAGGATGAATTTCCAATATTTCATCGTGAAAATTGATTCATAATAATGAATTGACAAAGAAATATTCTTTCCGGAATTTGGTCTATTACTTGAATACCATGGCGTATAAGGATTCTCATGAAACGTACACCCTTAACCTAATTGTTAATTTATTTGGGATGAAAATTTGTTCATAATAGTAATTAAATAAAAAAAATTAATGTGGATCTCATTTGAACCACATGGGTCTATTTTTTCTTGCACTTTATATAAGATATTTTAAGATATCTTAATAATTCGTAGGAACGTTTCAACAAAGACAATTAACGACAGTGAATTTGGATCGCATAGGTCCATTTTCTCTTATATAGGCGGTATCATGACACGGAAACTCTTACGTGGAGAGAAAATCTAACCTTCTCATGTGCAGGCGTTCATGAAAATGATGTGTACTTTTTGGTGTGTTATTGCCAGTGTTATAGCGAATGACTGTACTAGGCTAAATGGTGTACGTTATGTAATGGTCGGTTTCGCTCAACAATAATGCTTTTACTTATATTTTGTTGCTGTGTATTACTCCTCCATATGTTATATAAAGAAATTATTCAAAAAGTTTCATATTTATACAGATACGGGAACTAAGTTTTACGTCCAAAATTCAACAATATTAGCACACATTTCGCTTTTTATCAGTGAAATACTTTTGATAAGGCACAAATAATGCCGGCATTAGAGCAGCAAGAAAAAGAAAAAAGAGTGTAATTTTCATTTTGCAAAATTTAATTCTATGGTTTTTCTTTTAGCCATAAAAAAAAAAATAAAATAAAAAAAATATATATATATATACAGACTTACCTTGTTATCAAGTATAATAAAAAAAACTATATCGCGCAGCGATTTCAAGCTTCATTTAGTTACTGTCTCATCTACTATAAATTCCATTTGTAGATGTAGATGTGTGTGCGTGTTTTTGTCTCTCTATCTCGCGTCTCCATAACTTTTGTTACTTTGTTTAATGTAATGCTAATAAGCTTTTGTATTTTTTTTTTTTTATTCTGTTTTTACTTTATTATTATTATTATTCGCGACGGTCATGTCACCATTTGCCAGAGCGACGGAGAAGAGTAAGTTTTGTTCCAGTTTTTCTACTTCATAAAATTATGCTTTTCTTTTCTTACATTTTTTTTTTTTTTTTTTTTTCGTTATTGTTTTCTATTTTTCTTTTTGTTTTATTTTGTTTTGTTTTATTGCGGTTTTTTTTTTGTTTGTTTTTTTTTTTTTTAATACGAAGATTATTGCAGAAACTTTACTGTATACTATGTATGTATATACAAAGGAATCACACGATTATTATTTATTAGGCACGTACAAACATACCTATAGCACACCTTCTCTATGTACGTCTGAGAACCTTTTTGGCAGCCTTAATATTAGGTACCAAGGCCTTGACTTCGCTGCAATCGTCAAGGAAAGGATGTCGCAATAATTCATCGGCAGTGGCTCGTTTATCGACTTCGACTTGTAAACAGCAATCAAGAAAATCTTGCAAATTAAGACTAAGTTTATCCCAACTTTTAATATCTGGTCGACCGTTAGCGGCAATTAGATAAAGTGCCCTCAACGGTGTTTCATATAAATAGGGTGGCTGTCCTTCTATCATTTCAATGGCCATAATACCTATACTCCAAATATCGACTTTTTTTCCATATTTTTTTCGCGTTACTACTTCGGGAGCCATCCAATAAGGTGTGCCCACCATAGTTTGACGTTTCTCATCGCCTTCGATGTTAGCGCAAAATCCAAAATCTGTTACTTTCACCGATCCATCCATGCCCAATAGAACGTTATCTGATTTAATATCGCGATGTATTATTCCTTTTGAGTGAAGAAAACTGATAGCGTACAACACTTCACGACAAACGCAAGCAATCTGTCGCTCTTTCATAACAGTCTCGGTAACCACATCGGTTAAAGGACCTCCGTCCATATATTCCATTACAACCCAAAGCTGATCCTCGGGCTCTAATAGATAAGCATCGAGAAAATTGACCAAATTTTTGTGATTGAAATCTTTTAGGACGCGAATTTCCGTAAGTATAAGGTCTTTGGAAGACTGATTTTTTAAATCGATCGTTTTCACAGCCACTTGAGTTTCCGTTTGTTTATCGGCCGCGATAAATACGATACCGGATGCTCCTTTGCCCACTTCTTGAGTGGTTTTATAACGTTCTCTCGGATCGTCCGGATTGCAAATAGATCTTAGCTCATCATAGATTTCTGCGTCTGTTTTTTGAATTCTTTTATCCTTGGAACGTCTTAATATTGTTTCGTCGCCGTCACCTTCTAGCGCCGATTCAGCTGTGCCTGTTGCTGGTTTAATTATAATTGTATCTGTATTTATCGCGGACACTTCGTTAGTAGATATCGCGGTAAGATCGCTAACACCTTTCGATAATTTTTGTGTAATACCGCGTGGTTTAGGTTTTGTTTGGGGTTTTGGTGGCAAAGATGGTGTTTTCTTGGCAGGCAATGGCGGTGGCAATTCTCCCGTTATATCGATCTGAGGCTTAAGAGTTTCACGTTGAACATCCAAAGTAGACTCAAGTTCTTTAATGACTTCATTCAGTCCCGTTAAACGTATGGCCGTATGTTGTTGATCATTAAAGCTATTATTACTACTATTCCCACTAGTAGTTGAGCCGCTCTCTGTAGTAGTCGTGCTGTCACCGCTATATCGCTCATCGTCAGATTTCTCAAGATCCTGCGATTTATGTTTATTTTTGTAATTGACATAATTATCAATCTCTTTAGATTCTTCATGTATGGCCTCTTCGGTAATGAAAGGCTTAAAAATAACATCATTCTCTTTCTTTTTTATGGAATAATTATAAAATTTTACAGCCTGATAAGCGGCATCTGGATTTTTATCTTGTTCATCTCTTGTAATTTGGGCATTCATTAAACGCACCCATGGAGCTGGTAATCCCTCTAAGTCGCCAGTTTTTTCGTTACGTGAAACATGGAAATGTCGTTGAAAATTTGTTGGATTACCGATCTCCGAGATTTGCTCCTTTTTACGGAACCAACCCTTTAAACTGGTAAAACTGCTCATTGTTATTGCTGCTGACGATGTTGATGATGATGATGTTGATGATGACGATTACGATAATGTGGGTTTTAACAAGTTAACACTTATAAGAATTTCTAGGCAATGATATGTGGCTCTAATTGGAGGTGAGAAAATACAAATGAATCTTTGTTCCTATTATGATTTTAATATAAGTGAGTCCATATGCAAATGACGTCTTGGCGTTCTGGTTATGTTCCTTGATGCTCATGTGTCATGTGAGTCATGCAACTCATACTTTGCTTATAATCGGTAGCAATACAACATTTCACACATTATTCTCTAAGACGTAGCAACGATAACGAACACCAACACCAACACTATAAACGATATTCTGACAACGTTGACTTTTGAACTCCCTCTTACACTTTGTGCAATCGGCCTACTACAACGCGCTTCTATTTCTCTCTTTTCATTTAATCAAATGCATCAAAATAGGAAATTTTTCTTCTTTGTTTTGCAATTTTTACTTCTCCTTATACTATTTAATATTTTTGATGCAACTTTTTTTGCCTCTTATAGAAGAAGGAATAATATATAACTTTTCCAGTTTCTGGTTTAATTAAATTTATTATTTACTTTGTTTTATTTTCAATTGCTTGCACACACGCAAGCATCAAATGCCTCTCTTCTCTCCCTCTTTTTCTGTTAATAGTTCATATATAATTTTTCATTTATAAGGGGATTTAATTTTCTCTGGAATTTGCTTTCCTTTATTTTAATTTCATACATACACCACACACGTACACACACACACTCACACAGTCACAACACAAAAACGTACTCATTCAAAAGGAGTGGCTCTTGCACTTGTCTTACAATATTTGCTTTTTATTAGCGTGAAATTATTTTCTTCATTTTTATTTATTTACATTGGATCTTATTGGCCGCAAAAAATGCTTTCAGGATAAGGTTTACTGTAAACTTTTTCAATTTACTGCTTAAAATAATTAAGGATAAACTTTTTCAACTCACGAAGACTTTTGCTTATAAAGCAAGTGTTGCCATAACTAAGTGAAGATCTTTATTACTGCGATAGTATTAACTCTGAATGGGACGTGACAAGCAAGGCAGCATTTTTATTTTCGGATTAAAGACTTCCAGGTGGTAAATACAATTGCCTTAATTCGGGAATAATTTTGAATCATTTATTGCTATTTATTTTTTATAAACATATTTTATTATGAGGATTTTTCAATCTTCGTTGTTCTTCCGCAACAATACCAATATAATATTTTGTAAAACTTTTTAGAATTGAAAAATCGCTAATATGCCGATGGCAACGTCGTTTCGCAGTGGTGCTGTAAAAGAGGAACAACTTGGAGCCTGAGTTTGACCTGCTCTATATTTAGTAGCCGCACTATAAGAGGTACAATTTTTCCAAGCATTTTGTAGAACTCCTCACGAACGCTTTTTCTTTTCTTCGTTTCAGGTGATTTACACGAGGCCGGCAAAAAATTTTCATTTTTCATTTTGCAATGCCGACGGAAATTTGAATTTTCCATAACAGATTTCATGAGTTACAAAGCTCTTTTAGCAGATTTCATTAGTTACAAAGCTCTTTTAACAGATTTCGTGAGTAACAAAGCTCTTTTAACAGATTTCGTGAGCTGGCGGTTTTGCAAATAAAACGATCTGGCAATTTAGTTGGGAATTCAACCATTTAACAGAGCTGCCATTTTTGGCAATTTTTTTATTTATTGTTATTATTATTAAAGAGAAGAAAGGATCGATACTTAGATTATATCTTACACATACACATGCAATAAATTTAACCAGAGAATAAATTCTTTTCTTTTAAAGCGCACTTGAGATTTGAAACCACTCAGGCGGATAACTTGTAAAATTAAATAAGTTTAGTTCGCGTATTTTCTAAAAGACTATACATCTAGAGGAGATGATAGAAGAGGAGATGATAGAAGATCAAAAGCGACCAAGTCAAGGAAAAAGAATCGGAAACAATCAAGAAACCACGATTCTGTTACACATACAGAGGAAAATCTCTAAACGACTGATGGGATTAGAAAAGAAAATACCTATATATGTAATTGCTCCTATAAAAGCAAATTATTATATGGCACTAAAATTTAATATTTAAAAATTTATCACGAAATTTCGACCGCGATAATAATTTGTCATAATAATTGACTGCACTTGGATCTCTGACTTCACCCATATAAGATTCCGAGGAAAAGTGAGTCCCTAAATTGAAGCCACGTCACGTAACGATTTACTTCCATCTAGCATAAAGTCTTCCATGAAAACTATGCTATCACATGGAAAAAATATATAAATTTCGAGTATTTTATGGGATAATGAATACCGAAATGATGTAGGGTATTCAATTTCAATTTCTACATTGCGTCATTTTTTTATTGCATACTTTTGCATCAAAATAATATACAAAAAGAGGAGGCGTGTAAAAAGAGGAACCCGTGTAATTTGCAAAAGAAAATTTGTATAGATGTGTTAATTATCGACATTCAATGTTATTTAAATTCAAACGTTTCATTTCATCCATTTTTTATTTTTGTAAATATTAATAATTGCTTTTTGAATTTTAAATCCAATCTTTATATATCTAGCGGAATATTGCAATATTTTATCTAAATTTCTCACGTATGTTAACTTTGTTTTTATTTCTGGGGGAAGGATAATATGCAATATGTTATACGTCTTATTATTAGTGAAGAGAGCTTTTACCACAATAACAATTTACTTCTCTTTTTACACGAACGTTTTTCTTAAGGCTTTAAGCCTGCAGTCATGATGATAAATACCCACAGAAGTTGTCTATAAATTGTAAATATTGTGGAATAACGATTAAAAACGGGACAGATAATCTTAGTTTTAATCTTAAAAGAAAATTGAAAAAAAAATCGAAATTTTCTTTCTGATTGCCTGTACCTCTGTTCATATATTTTTGTACTCAGCCCATAGGTCTCCATTTTGGAGATATTTTAATGAAATTTTGTACACTCTCCGGACTCTGATCCCATTTCCGATCACTTCCCATGTAACGCCTTAACTTGATAAACTGTTTTAAGAAAAAATATCATAATTTTTAGAAATTTTGCAATAAAAATCGCTTAATAATAGTATTTCCTATGTTGATGTGAAAATTTTGAATCAAGCGGATCAATTTCTTGAACCCTATTTCGCGCGAAAACTGCATTTTTGTAGTGTAAAAATACTTCACTTTCAATATTCCTTTATGAAGATTCATTCATAACAATAATCTGATATAAACATTAACTTTGCCGACTTTGGACCAGGATAATATGTTTGAGTCAAGGCACGTTAGTGTATCAAAATTTCATCAAAATATCTCAAAAACAGTCAGACTGTCAGGATTGGATCGATGCACAATCATTCTCTGAATCGATCGGTATCATAAAACGTGGGCCTATCTTAAGCCGTTCTTCGTGTTACAAACTTAATATATACCCTGTACCACAAGTGGGTTAGGATATAAAAATTGTTACAAAAATGTTAAGGTAAATTTAACGCTGGACCGTATCTCACTATAGTTTTTCCACTTGTTTCCAAATTTCATGGCCATGTATGCACATATACATATAATATATATATATGTATGTCTTATCTATGTGCGTTTTAGGATAGCATGGATGTTAATTACAATTTACAAGATCATATATGGGTAAAAATGATGCATAAGTTAATTAAAGCGAGGGAGACTTGGATGCTTTACCCAAAATTCGTAGAGACGCTAGTGGTAGCGTTATCACAACGTCAAAAGTAAATACACTTTTATATATATATATATATGTATATGTATGCGTGTGTGGCATGTGGAATGCGCAAAATCAAACGCTTATTCCCATGAAATTCGCCTATTAGTGAAATGCTTATTTTATCACCATTTCAAAGAGCTGAACACAGGCGCCTGCCTACACATTTTTATGCTGGTATTAAAGAGTTTGTCGTTATTCTAAAACTTCGAAAGTTCTGCTTTCTTAGTTATTCATACACGTACGTATGCATATTCACACACATTTATAAATGAAAAAAAATTTTTTTTCCCCTCATATGGATGTATACATAAAAAGAAGTAAAAACGCTATATAGTGGGTCACAACTCATCCTACGTCACCCTAAAGTTATTCATGCAAGGACTTTTCAAAGCAATAAAAAATGATGCTGTCGGGAAAGGTCGACTATTAGACACTCTTATAATATATTTTTGTAATGTAATTGGGGGACACTCAAATCTAGGCAATTTAATTTGCTTGTCATAGTTTTTACTAATTTGCCTTTGTCGCCATAGAAGACCTTGCTCCTTTTATACGTATGGTATGGTCTAAAAAGAAATATGCTTATCGTCAAGGTCTAATTTTGATGTCAATATTTTTATTATGAATGAATTTTCATCAAGAAGTAAAGTTAAGTTTTCATCATATAACGATTCAGTTTCCTTAGGAATGGTTGCATGGCAGAGGTTCACGGATTTGCTCCTCTTCCTGTTTAAAGTTTTCACATCAATTCACAGTAGCCGAATACTATTACTGAACGATCTTTGTGACGAAGATGCAATATTTTTTCTTAACACGACTTATGAAAATAATGCGTTGTATGAGATACAAATCGTTTTCTTGGGCCGGGTACTCGAAATCTCTCTATCTTTCTCTCTCTCTCTCTCTCTCTCTCTCTCTGTCTCTGTCTCGCTCTCTCTCTGTCTGTTTGTCTCTCTCTTTCTCTCTCTGTCTGTTTGTCTCTCTCTCTCTCTATCTGTCTCTGTCTCTCTCTCTCTCTCTCTCTCTCTCTGTCTGTTTGTCTCTCCCTCTCTCTCGCTCTCTCACTGTTTGTCTCTCTCGCTTTCTCTCTGTTTGTCTCTCTCTCTCTCTCTCTCTCTCTCTCTCTCCCTATCGGTGGAATACATAAATGCAAGGAACAGGCAATCAGAAGCCGATTCCGTATCCATCAATATAATAAAAAGCGAATCTATCTCCGATTAACTTAACATAACCTTACACCACAAGTAGCGTAGAGTAAAATAAACATAACTTAATAACGTAGAAAGTCATAAAAAAGACATGATTAACTACAACATATGCTAATTACGAGGCAGAAGATCATGTACATGTGGTGTGAGGATCTTCGTTGAGCCCTAAAAACATTGTTATTCGTTGATGATAAATAATAATGAATTAACTCGAAATTATTGTCAACATCTGGATATGCTTTAAAATTCTTGAAATGCTTTACTGCTGCCAAGCGAAAAGTAAATTTCAATAGATCAGTAGATTTTAAAATCTTGTCAAGTTCACAACGAAATGCATTAAGTTTTGAAATACATAAAAAAAAAATAAAAAAAAAACACAAAGATGATGGTATGGACATAAGAAGAAGTAGCCCCCCCTCCCCCCTTTTAAGGATGTTACGATAAATTATCATTTCTCATTCACTTTAGTTATCCGCTCTTTTCATGCTAATCATAATTGAAGGATTTCATCAATCATCGTTATGTACGAGCGGTAACAGCATCGAAGGATCTAAGGATTTGAATATTAAACTTGAAAACTTGAATCAATTGCTTAACAAATTGCATTTGTCAATGCAAAAACTTGATGAGAATTCTCAACGTTGGCCCATTTGGCAGCATCACGTCGAGTCATGGAATGACGGTCTACGCGTTATCGAAAATAAATTGAATTTATTGAAACGTCTCGAAGATGAACAACAATCGCAATTGCAAAAAATAGAAATCATAATAAATACTGGAATCGATAGACAGGCGAAAAGCAATTCGGATGCTTTGCATCGTTCATTGCTAAGCGATATAAAAAATCTCTTTAGCAGGGAATGCAAGGAAAGGGATCAATCTCATCAATCTCATAAATTGAATGATATAATGCGTCATCTGCAAATAATTGATAGCGATGATGACGTCATAAAATTAAATATAAAAAAAAAAAAATTAAATAAAATTGATAAAGTGATGCTGCCATCAACTGGCGGAGTTCATTGCAATAATAATCAAAGCATTTTGTATTTTCAAAAATTCAAACAATTGCACTCCTTGGCTAAGCGAAATTCGAAAAGCTTGGACAATATAATGCACAATTTGGCTGATAATGTTCATCGTCAAGAGGAAATCATATCACTATTGCATCGCACTAACAATTATTGTTACGCTATAACCAATGAATTGACAACATTTACCGAAAGTTCCGATGTTTTATTAAAGCGTATTGAGAAACTATTGCATAACGTCGACAATAAATTTCAAAATGATGAAAATAGTAAAGAAGGAGAAGACGAAAATGAAGACGAAGACGAAGACGAAGAAGAACAAGAATTCTTAAGTGCAGAAGCTTCTACTACTGACAGTGGTAGTGGCGAAGAGAAGGATTATAAAAGAGCAAACGATTTGGAAGATATTGGTAATTACCGTTACTCGTTTCTCTATCTATACCCTACACAATGTATATTAAGTTTGTGCGGATGTAGAAGCGTTCAAGATAGAACCACCTTTTAGTCCGATACCGATCGATTCTGAATCATTGAATCAGTGAATTGATCAAAGCTTGTCTATCCGTCTGTCCATTTGGTGGCTGTCCATGGAAACTTGTGTTCACGCTACAGGTCGCAAATTTTTAAGATATTTTATAATGTGCTTTGACCCAAAGACTTTGGTACTTTCTTGACCACTACTCATGTAACGCCATATTCTCAAAAATTGTTATATGAAAAAAGTCTAGTAATTATCGAAAATTCTCGGCAAAAGTCGCTGATTCCAAGTTGATATGAAAACTTCGGATTAGTTAGGGCAATTTTTTGAACCACCTCTCGTAGAACCGTTCGTACGAAAATTGAATCTTTTGTATGGTAAAAAAGGTTTAATTTTCCATATTTCACGATGGGAAAATAGCAAATTGCCTAAGCGTATTTTTTTTGGATACCATCGCATACAACGATTCTCAGAAAATGTAAGCCAAAGTGCCAAAAATTATTTATAATGAAAATTTGTTCATGATAAAAATTTAACATAAAACGTAAGTCAATTAAATTTGAACCCCGTCGGTCTATTTTTTTGGATCCCACTTTGTATAAGATTTCTTATGAATAGTAAGTGCAAATAGCAATTTAGCATAACAATTAAGATTTGGGGAATTTGGATCAGTTAGGTCTACCTACCAAACACATATGGGGCTATCTGGGGCTATTGTAAAATTGCAAAATTTTTACCTAGTCATACGATGTTTCGGGCATCATCCGAGTCAAGGCAAGTCAATCTATCAAATTTAATCAAAATATCTCATCAATTGCGATCTATAAGTTGAACAATAAGAAGAAGACAAGATGAAAAGACGGACGGACGGACAAGCAAGTTAAGTGATTCTGAACTGATGAGTATATTAGAAGATATTTGTATCTCAAGTTCTTCTACGTGTTATGTACATACTCACCGAATTTAATCCACTACACGCACAACACGTAGAGCGTAAAAATCTTGGTTTCCTTCCGATTTTCTTTGCATTTCTACTTCGACTTTCTTTTCGTTCCTTTTTATATTTCAGAATTTCTGCGACCACTTTTAAAAGATTGTCACGAGTTACTTGAGGAAATGAATAGCTCAGGTGAATCTCTATTTATGGATGGTATTTACAAATTCGCTTCGCTCGAGTTAAACGAAGTGAAAAGAGATTTTAACGAACGTTATTGCATTTATCCGTATGAAAATCGAACAGGCTGGCCATGGACTTTAATACAACATCGTGGTCCCTATGCAAGACAAGAAAATTTCAATCGTTCTTGGTCCGATTATCGTAATGGTTTCGGCTCGTTAACAAGAGATTTTTGGTTTGGAAACGAATTCATACATCGTCTAGTCTACGAGAATGATTATGAATTACGCATTGAATTAGAAGATTTCAATGGCACGCAGACATGGGCCGAGTATGGTGTATTTCGTGTTGACTCTGAAAAATATAATTACAATTTATTAATTGGTGATTATCGTGGCATCGCGCCAGATGCTATGAAATATCATAATGAAATGGACTTTAGTACGTATGATCGGCGTAATGATAATACCGTAGTAGATGCTTGTTGCCCTTGCGCTTTAAGTTACGCCAGTGGCTGGTGGTTCGATAAGTAAACTCATTCTAGACATTAATTGCTTCAAAATATCGTTCGATATCCATTCTCTTTATCATTTCTAGTTGTGCCGAAACTAATCTAAATGGAATTTATCATTATACACCGTTACATCATAATTATATAGGGGTCATATGGGAATCGTGGCACGGTGACTACTCTTTACGCGAAACACGAATGATGATACGTCCCAAGCAAATTAATCCGGATTATAATAAAGAGGATCCTTAGATACTTGTATTTTTATTATTGATTTAAAAAAAAATAAATAAATCTTTTATACCCATATCAACATTTACCCCAAGAAAAGACAAAAGAAGTAAAAGAATAAAATTCTCATGCTCTCTAATATGGTGCGGACGGAGTTGATTTCTCTTATTTTGAAAATAAAAACTTTTCTTGTAGATGCATGTGAGCATTGTAGGCGTGTCCTTTGAAAAGTTTAGGTCAATTACAAATTCTTTTTCATTCTCGCTAGCGGAGGAACGTTTATCACAAATACTACAACACAAAACTACGCAAACAGACAGATGGACAGACGAACAGGCGGACATGTTATGAATAATGAGCAAAAAAGGGCAATTTTTCATTACCTTTGAAAAACCGAGCTGTTCTCAGTGTACGTGATGTTGTGGGATTGGTCTTCGACCGTTTTTGCCCATTTTCAATACCACTAACTGCGTGCAAGATCTCTCCATGTTTCTGCCAAACTTGAAGTCGACGGCTTCATTGTTGGAGAATATTTACCACAGACGGACAGGCGGACATATTTAAATCAACTAAGAATTTGATGCTGATCAAGAATATATATAATATTGGGATTGATGGCTCCTTCTGGGCGTTGCAAACATTTCGACAAAATAAACATGCCCTTGTCCTTTGGTGATGGAAAGAATAATTATAGAGGCCATTGCCAACTTCTGACTATCTTGTGGTACAGGGTATATATGAAAGACTTGACATACGTCTACCTCTTATCATACCATGCTAAGATTGCCTGTACCTTTGTTCATATATTTTTGTACTCAGCCCATAGGTCTCCATTTTGGAGATATTTTAATGAAATTTTGTACACTCTCCGGACTCTGATCCCATTTCCGATCACTTCAAATGTAACACCTTAACTTGATAAACTGTTTTAAGAAAAAATATCACAATTTGCAATAAAAATCGCTTAATAATAGTATTTCCAATGTTGATGTGAAAATTTTGAATCAAGTGGGTCAATTTCTTGAACCCTATTTCGCACGAAAACTGCATTTTTGTAGTGTAAAAATACTTCACTTTCAATATTCCTTTATGAAGATTCATTCATAACAATAATCCGATATAAAAATTAACTTTGCCGACTTTGGACCAGGATAGTATATTTTTTTTCGGAACCTCAACCCATAAAAGAATTCGAATGATTAAAAAGCCTTTATACGGCAAAAAAATTAATTTTTTAATATTTTATGATGAAAATTTATTCTTATCGACCATGTGGAATGGAATATGAATCACAGAGGGTTTTTTTATACCGTACCGCAAGCACACGTTGCTATGGCAACAAAGCCTTATTTGTGATTGGAAGATGGTAATATTTTGGGGAAAATTTTGACCAAATTAGTGCTAGCTAGGATTTTCATGGCGTATTATTAGTTAAGCGAAGTGAAAGTTGGTTACCTAATGACCGACCGACCGACCGGCCGGCCTTGCTTGACTCGTAGTATTTTTACTTGTAATTTAAACTTTGCTTTAAACTAATTTAAGAATCTAAGCAAACCTATCATTTATAATGCATTCGATCTTTACGTCGGGGGATTGAGAAGTTACGTTCGTTACGTTCCATATTTCTAGTAGGGATATAAAAATTATAATACCAATAGTATTAATTATAATTATGAAGAGGAGAACAGACATTAAGAATATAAATTCATAATTTATTTTTAAATATAATTCTTTACATACATATGTTTTTTATACATTCTATGTGTGTTTTCATTGTTAATTAATTTCTTTTTTAATTTTAATTTTTACTTTTTACTTGTTAATTTTTTATTTTTAATTTTTTTTTTTTTTTTGTTATTTCTTTTTCTTTAATGCAATTATAAACTGCACACTCATTACGCATACAATGATGTTTGCCAAGAAAAGAGAAACACAAAAAAAGAAAAAAAGAATGCGAATTATATTATATAATAATAATAATAATAATAAACTAAAATATTATTTACTCTCTTTATTATACAGAACTATTGTTAAACTATTTTATATTGTTTACATCATAAAAGCTAGAAGTAGGACAAATTTTATTTCCTTTTTTTGTTGTTTTTTTTTTTTTTTCTTTCTTTCTTTCTTTTCTTCTCTATTGCGACAACAACAGAAAATGGAAGTTTAATATAATAAAAATGTTAAATAAAATGAAATTTATTCGCGAAAAGCAAACACATACTTGAAACTAAGAAAATTAATTTTTAATTTAATTAATTTAAAGCTGATATCTGAGCACGCGTGCAAAGTAGGTCGAATTTTAGTATTAAAAAACCATTTTTAACTATTTGTAAAAAAAAAAAAAAAAAATTTTTTTTTTTGCATTGCATTTTTACAAACATCTGGCATTTGATTTGCTTTTGTTTTTTTGTTTTTTTTTGTTTTGTTTTTCCCTTTTGCTGAAGTCGAGAGACTTTACAAACGTTACTGGCTAAGAGTTAAAATCTAACCTAAACCGAACGAGAAAAAAAAAAAGAGGAAATCAACTAATTTTTGTTGGTTTTTTTTTTTTCTTTTAATAAATATTTACAAAAAGAAAAATTTTTTTTAAAATTTCTTAACATATTTTGCCTCATTCCATTGACATCCAATAATAATTAATTGATAATTAGTTGTTTTCCTTCTTTTCTTGTTTTCTTGAACAACGCAAATGCTAAGGATAATATAAAAAGTAATGATTTTGTTGACTTGCTTGAGCTTTAACAACTCTCTCTCTCTCTCTCTCTCTCTCTTTCTCTCTCAGGGTATGATTAGGAGGAAGATTTTAACAAACAATCATAAATTCCCTGCCTCTCCCACCCTGTGTGCCTCAACAATTTTACATATTTACGGTTTTTTACGTATACGTTCCCCAGATTCACCGCACCACTCTGGGTCGTTTGGATCGTCATCCTGAAATGGATCTGTATCGGTGCTTTCACCATCACTATCATTGCCACGTCCTTGACGTGTCTTACGACCGACATAGGCTCCATATTCGTCGTCATAGTAATCATTATCGTTATGATTGTTAAAACTTCTACCGGCGAACCCCAAATCATCGTTGGGCGCTAAATGATGTCTCGGATAATCGTCATCATCAATATTTTCATTATAAATCGATGCCATCAAATCACCATTTTCATTGATCATGGCGGCAGCATCGTCAGCCGGCATAGGTCGCGTAATTTTAGTATTGATTTTACCGCCGCGACCATTATTTTTATCGCCTCCACCACCACTTACGGTCGATGAGCGTGACCCACGTTTCATGTGATTGTTACGCGGATATTTTAAAACAGGTGCAGTTGATAGATAATAATCATCTGATTGTTTATTTTCCAACGTTTGATCGTAAGTCATGGCGCGCAATAGGTCATCATATAGTTCATCGCTTAATGGAAACGTCATTGGTTCATAAGGTGGTGCAATCTGAAAACATATTTTAAAAAATTGCCTTAGACAACTGCCTGAAAGTATGCTCTCTTTCTTGCCTATAAGTCTCTGCGACTATAAGAACAAAAACTGATATAAAAACGATGCGAGTTCCCGATAAATGAAATGAAATACAAATAAGCAAGTTATAGTCGACGAGAGTCAAATCTCGCACGCCCAACACTCTAAGCTCTTCGCGTTCTACTCTCCAAATTGCTTTATTTGATACCCACATATCGCTGATACTATTAAGAAATATTTAATCCACCAGATCACAGATTTTCAGAATTAAACCATTTTTAGGCAGATGATGTATCTTCATTTGAGAAGTGTACACAAAATAGTTATCAACATTTTGTCTTTTTTGCGTTATTATAAATAAGCGTAAAAGCTCGAAAAAATGAAAAAAATAAAATTTAATTATTTGTAACTTTGTGTGGGCATAGCGGATGTTTTCCATTTTTGCACGTCGTAGGACTAGGAGTTGTTCAAATTTCGGCCTTCCAACTTTTATAATTTCCGAGTAACGAGCAAAAATCCATATATTTTTGCTAAGAAAAATGGAGTTGCGCTCCACTGCGGGCTTCTGCTCTAACCAATTTGGCCCATTTTCAAGACCAACATGCTTGGAAAAACTTCCAATGTCTCCGCCAAATCTGAAGTCGATATTTTTATTTTTGGCGACCAGGAGAATGCCAACAACAAACACCACGCAGTCACACAGAGGGACAGACATGGCTAAATCAATTCAGAATTTCACGCTGATCACAAGAATGTATATACTTTAAAAGGGTCTATGAAGCTTTCTTTTGGGTGTTACATGCATTATGAAAAAAAATAATGACCATGTCGCCTCCCATCTTATAATGGTGAATATATAAAACTATCGAGAAAAAGAAATAGTGAGTTTATAAAGTAAGCATTAAGATTTGCGTTAATGGCCCATGAGAAGGATGAGATCAAATTTATCAGTTATCAATGATTTCAAAAAAGTCCGCAAACATTATAAACGAAGTTTAAGACAAGTTTAAGCCTCGTAGTCTGGATTAAGCAAGCTTTCCGAAAAGAAAGGAAAGATTTGCTTCTTTTTATGCTTTGTTTCTCTCTCGCTCTCTTACTATCTTTACTCACTTCTTTAAAGTCAGGCGTTGCACTGCGGCGCTCGAATTCACGATCACGTTTGGTAGATGTTGTCCGCCTTCTTTCACATCGCTTATTATATTCCGAGTTAATACCTAAGAATGAAGCTATATATATATAAAAAAGAAAAAAAGAAAAGAAGTTTTTTTTTTTTTTTTAAATTTCATTTCCAATTTATATAATGAATGAATGCTTACTTGAAGTATCCCCAGCTTCGGAGGTGGCATCCAAAGTATTAAACAGTGAATTAGATGTCAAGGGAGATGGAATACTCTACAAATATAAAATTGTTTGTTAATGGACATACATTTTTGATATGATTGTTTACATTGACCATCATACATACCTCCTGATCTCCGCAACCGACACCGGAATTCTGAGGTGCTGGAGAGCTTGGATCAGGTGTATTAGCACCGCTTGACTCTGCTCGACTATCAATACGACGATTTGCCCTAGATCGGGTACTCCAAGGAAATTTCAAGTAGGTCTGAAATTTGCGACGTTCCTCAGTTAGTGCCCTTTCATGCCTTAAAATCATTGCCTCGTCGGAAATATCCTCTTCAAGTGCGAAAGCGTCGTCGTCATATTGATCATTTTCGCCATTTATATCTACAACCCTAACCTGATGATTGTTGTTGATCTTTTCTTCACTTGAAAAAATATTACATTTTTCTGTAGTATTGTTATGATCGTTATCATCATCATCATCATCATCACCATCATCATCATCATCGTTATCGTGATGATCTATTTTAATTTTTTTTGGCTCTGGCTCTTTTGTGACATCAAAATAGTTTTTATCCTCACGATTTCCACTGCACAATTCCGCCTGCATTATAACTGTTTTCTCATTTACATTATTTTCACTGCTCTTTTCGTTAATGATGGCATTATTGATTTTAACGGGATCGCAAATCTGATCAATTTTAGACTTTTTTTGCTCATTACCACCACCATCATCATCATCAACATTTATAGCCATTTCTGATGCTTTAGATTGATCACAATTCGATAATCCATTCATGGCTGTCAATTGACTCTGTTCAATTTCGGTTACTGATTTATTACAAATATCAAGTTGATCTTGTTCGCTATCGTTATTTAGTTCATTTTCATTTTCAATAACGCGCCACCTTTAATGAGGGAGAAAAATTTGTTTTTATTTTCAATTTGATAAAGAGAATTAATAAAAAAAAAAAAAAAAAAAAAGGAAAAGTGATTTACTTTGGCGTTGGAATTTCCTTATAGGGTAATATTTCAACTCGGGTTGAGGCAGCCACGCTATACGGTATCACAATATTATCGATATCATACGAAGAGCGATTCTTCCTATCAAGCATTCTAAATCATTTATAGAATAATGTTGAAAAAAATATTTTTTTGATTAATTTTACTTTAAACAAAATGCTATAATGAAAAATACAAAAAAAAAAAAAAAAAAATGAAGAGTGTGAGAGTTCGTCCAGTTTTGATCAAAACACATCAGTGTACGAAATTTCATCAGAATATCTCAAAAATTTACGACTTGCAGCTTGAACACAAGAATATATGGTCAAACATCGGACGGATGGACAAGCTTAGTTTGATTCAGAATCATTTTCTCGGTATAATAAACAGTAGATGATATCCCTCGTAGCCTCGTAGCTTCTGAGTGTTAAGTGTGAGGCCCGCATAAATTTAATAAGCTCTCTCTCTCTGTCACCAGGGGTACATGGACTTAATAAACGATTTAAATACATTTGCGTAGAATAAATAAATAAATATATATATATATATATATATATATATGTATATATTAATGAATTAAATAATGACATTAAAGAATACTGTTACAGTACCTTTCATATTTAGGATAATTACCAACGCCATATGTTGGTGACGAGGTTCGGCTACGAGTTGAAATATCTACCCAATTGTCGTTAATGGGCGTGCTATGTAGAAGGCTCGTATCGGCAAATGCGTTATTGCTGTTATAGTGATTGTTATGTTGACTGGTTGAGTAAGTATGCTGCTGCATTTGATGAGGGATCTGTGATATTGTTGCCGTTGAGTGTTTTCGATATTTATTGTTCTTGCTATTGTTGCTGCTGCTGCAGCTGCTGTTCAGGGGTTGGGAGATCAATGATGAAAGTGCTTGGTTGGGTTTGTATGCATCGTAGCTTTGATGGAGATAATCGCTTGGTTGAGGTGCATAGCTGTTGTTGCTGCCGTTGTTTATCAATGCCGAACTGTGCTGATTGTTGTTCAGAGACGGCGACGTTAACGGCTCCTTCATTCGATTTGTGTTGCTCATCTGATGGCAGTATGATTTCTTTAAGAGTCTTGACGTCACCTCTGCACATCCCCCGGTCATTTCAAAGAGCGGCATTAAAAACAAAAATGTGCATTTTAAATTGTTTTTTTTTTTTTTTTTTTTTTTTTTATTGATGGAAAGTGTTTCATATAAGTTGTGAGTTGAATGAGTGATGTAGCACGGGAGGAGATGTTATTAATGTTGAGTAATCATGTCGGTGTAGTAGGTTACGCGTAAAAAAGATGGAAAATAACAATCGATTAAACGAAGGAACGAACGAACCGATGTGTATCGAAAGCGAGAGAGAGGAAGAAAAAAATGGAAAGAAAAAAGATGCAAAATTGTTTTTGTTTTATGTTAATATCAATTATCGAATTTTTTATGTTTACAATAATTTACTGTTGGCCACAAGTGGCGTTGTAGACGTAGAACTAGTAGACAAAGTTGCAGTACCATTTCCCGTATCAATTGAAGATGATGATGCTGCTGCTGCTGCCGATGACGATGATGATTTCGATGGCCCCATTGATGTCCTGGCCAAAGCGGCTGCTGCCGCTTTCTCTTCATTAAGGCGATCCTTCTTTTTGACATATTTCCGTTTAGGAATTGCTTCTTTTCCATGCTTTCTTGATAAATGATAACCTGCAGCGGCGGCAGCTTCCCGTTCAGCTTTCCACACAGATTTTGCAATACTCTTCGCTTGGCAACGCATAACCCGATGTTGCCATTCCGGCAAACGGGCAATAGCCTCAAAGTGTAAGGCATTGTTAACATCTACACGCAAAAATATAATAATGCTGCAATGTTAATCGATTGCCGATGTACAAAGAACTTAGCAATAATTTCATACCTTCACGAAAGCTTAAGACCGGATGATAGCCAGGATCCAGCAAAGCTATACGATCTGACATCATCATTGTATCAGGAGGATCACGAGGCGCTGTTGGATCTGCACGTCCAGTGCACAAAGCACAAGGATGCAACGGCCATTGACATCCACATTTAATGGTACTATAAGCAAACAAATTATTTCAATATTGAACCATAATAAATGGAAATGCGCATGTACAGAAAATAAAATTTACCTCGGTCGCGCGGCCTTTTTCGAAATTGTGTGTATATTTGTAGTTTGTATTAATTTGCGTTTGCGAAACAGTTTTGCTTCAAAACCACGCGTTCGACAAGAATCTGGCAATTCGATTTTGTTATCGTGTTCTGGTTGAGTTGGATAAGGATCCGTCCTCAGACCATTTTCAGGTAAACCGCATGTTACCGCGCCCTTCGTTCGTGCAATCTCCTGATACAGTTCACTATGCTGGCGTATTTTAATTTCTAAATCGGCGATTTGTGAAAGTAGCCACGACCAGCGAGATGCAATAGCAGCACGGTCGCGTGAATAACGCCAGGCGGCGCGTTTTGTTCTACAAAAAAATTAAAATTTTCACTATTCATATCATACATCGTACGGAAATCTATAGTACTTACATAGGCAGGGTCTGTTGATGCTGATTGTTGTATGTGACCATCTCATCAGCAGACTCACCTCCAGAACTTGATTCAGTGGCGTCTGAATCAATGGCCCTTTGCACCTCGCTCATTTCTGTTTGTAGTAGTCCCGCTACTTGTGTTAACTCATCCGCCACTTCTTCGTCCAGTGTGGGTACTACTACGTCTTCCGCTTTGCCATCAGCTGTTGCTAAAGCCGAGGACATAGATGAACTCGCCGCCGCCGCAATGGCTGCTTGTGCTTCCAATAAGGCTTTTTTAGTTTTCTTATGATGAAGAGCTAAATTAGCAAAACTTGTACTCGGCACCGTGCACAATTGTTGCGCGTTTGCCGCTGTCTCCAGTTTGCGTAAAAATGAGCAGATCTGCGTCGCCGGTACTAAATTGGAGATTTCTTCTTTCCAAAGGGTAGCTGGCGGACGAGCCGCTATGACTTTCCACTGATGTTTATTACTTTCATGAGGGGCCAATGCATTTAAACTAACTCCGCCAGTTTCATTGATGTTTACACTTCCGATAAATTTCCCCGCATGACGTGCACTCCATTCAAATAAGCCAGCAATTTCTTCGCTTGCATGCTTGCAGATATAACGAGCCTGAAGCTTACGCATACGCCTCAACATAAACTCAACTTTGCGTTGCATTTGTTGTTGCCGCTTTTCAATTTCTGCTTGGCCCTCTTGCAATTCTGCGGGTTTCAGCGGTTGTATAGAAGGAGTATTGCTGGTAACATTTGCTATATGACCAACAGTACCCCCACTACCTCCCATATCAGCTTCGTTGATTTTAAGCGAAGTGTAAACTTCATTGAACAGCACATTTAAGTCGCACATGTTTAAATCCGAAGTGCCGCCACTCTCGATCCCCTTTAACACTTTAAAGACTTCTTCGATATCTTGGTCCTCAAGTTCCCCCCCTTCTGCATCCTTCATAAAACCCGGCGGCATATTGCCGCTGCCCAGAGTATTTAGTGAAGACGTAGTACTTTGTGGCGTATAATTGTTCTGTTGTTGCAGCATCTGTTGATTTTGCGGTAATGGGGACGCAGACGTTGGTGGCGTTTGCTGCAGTTGTTGTTGTAATTGTAAAACATCTTCTTGAAGTATTTTCTCATCCTTGAGCGGTGTATGTGGCGGTGTACTTGCAACTGCATTTCCATCATTTTTATCACTGGAATTACAAGTATCCACTTCTTGATTTGGCGGTGGAGAATCTATAGCAGTACCATCTAGTTGACTAAGACGCTCTAAGGGAGAAAAAGTTTTAGAGTACTTTAATTTAAAGGCTTAGTAATTAAAAGCAATTACCTTCTAAATTATCTTCTACTTCTGAGGCCGTCATTGTTGAATCAGTGTTGACCGGTGGTAGTTCTTGTACTGCGATAATTTCTGATTTTGAGGTATCCGGTTTCTTTGGCTCTGTTTCAGAAACTGTTGCTGAAACCATAGCAACCAATTGATTAGATAACGCCTCATAGCCTTGCTCCATCTCATTTTCCCTAAAATTTTTAACGGTTTCTTCAAGAATTGTTTGGGTTTCGCTACTATCTTCACTGTCGCTTTTAATAACATCGTTTTCGTCGTCATTATTGCTTTGCGATGTTTGACTTTCTTCCACTTCTTCTATTTCTGATGTTGGACGATCCTGTTTTCTTTTCGACTCTAAAGTTTCATTAGACTGCGCAGCCTCCATGTGCGCAGCAATTTCTTGGTTAGTTTCGATTGCAGCCAAATTCGTAATAGCGGCTTTTAAAACAACAATATCGTTATCGTCCGTTTGCACCGGTGATATTGGCGTCCCAGTAGCAGATTTTACTAAATTAACGTCTTTCAATTGCTGACGTAAACAAATTTCTGCCGTTATAGCTTCGTTTGTCAAATCAGCCAACAGTTGTGCCGTCGAATTGTCCTGGCAATCGATGGATTTCTCTGCAGACGCCTTTGACTCTAATATAGTATCGTTAATATTACTATTATTGTTGTTCTTGTTACCTTTATTTTTGTTGCTATTATTGTTGGGATTCAACAGGGCCGCACTTAAGCCCATTTGCTCATTATTTTTTACAACAGCAGGAAATTTATTTATTTTTATTTTATTATTGTTATTGTTGCTTATCACTCTTGATGAATGACACGGTTGTTGCGCGTCTCTAGAACGCGTAAGGCGTTTTGAAGAACTGGGATTTTGCACTAGAGTACCTGCGCGTGTGCGTTTCTCACGTGTGTTTGTTGTAGACTTAACTACGTTAAAATTGTTATTAGTTTTATTTGTAAGGGGTTCGGGTTTTTTACTAGACCGTGTCGTTGGAGTGGCTCTTGCCGTTACCGCTGAGCTGGTTAGCTTTTCTTTTGGACTCAATGGCTCAGTGAGAGCTGGCGCCATATTGTCAAAAACTGCTGCATTTGGCTTAACATTCACTGCCTCGGAAAGGCGTCGCTGCTCCAAACAAGGTAGACGAGCGTTTAATTAGCGCATTTATACGAATACTGGAGCAAATATAACCTGAAAGATTTGTTTATATTTATATAGATATACCCAAAGTCTTAAGCATAAATTTACATTAAATTAATTCGCATTGTATTGAGCTAATTTTCTCTTCCTTTTTTTTTTGAAGCAAAATCAGGCAGACGTATGGGTAATTTTGGCTAATTTTTACAATATTTCAAAAATTATCTGCTTTTAAGAAACATTAAAAATGAATAGAAAAATTTAGTCGAAAAAAAACTATATGGTACACCAAGAAAAGAAATCATTCTGGGAACTTATCGCTTTTTCTGATGAAATTGGAAGTTTCGTTGTGAAACTTTGCTCTACTTGAATCTTTAAACAATGCAGTCATTTAACTACATATACTTGGATAATTTATTTTAAAACTACAATAAGCAATTATTTAAACAATTCCTTATCAGTGGAAAAAAAACATAAAATACAAATAAAACAAAACCTCTTTTTTTGTTTGCCGACAGTAGACACAAAACAAAACTACTACCAACTGAAGCACCGCTGCTCTCTAAAAATAAAATTTAGCAAACTCTGTCGCGGACACATTTAATTAATAAAATTTCTGTTTTTTAATTGTACGTACCTCTTTTGATAATTTTATTTCTTTTCATAAGTAGGGAACAGCAAAACTTAGGTCCACAAAACAAAAAAGATTTTTTTTTGTTAAAAACTTATGCCTCGTCATTCACAGTAACGAATAAAGCAGGAGCACAACGTTGTATGTGACGAGTAGCAAATGCAAATATGTATGTTCGTTCGTTGTTATACCTTTTGTATTAAATAATAAGGGGGAACAAACATATATATATATATATATATACATAAATATATAAACATATGTATATACATATATAAATATATACATATATATATATAAATATACATATATATATAAATGTTAAGTATATAACTTTCTATAGGCGCAAAAAAACTCCTTTTTTAACGTTCATAATTTCATCACCATTTATTATTAATTAGTTAAGTACGCTAATACTTTAGACAGATTTTAAAAAGTTTCCATTTTAAAATGAATTCGTTTATTTCGAATCACTACCATTTTGAAGCATTTAAAAAAATTTATATAATTTTTCTTAATTCTATTTGGAATTTTACTTGAAGCACACTCGCGCGCTCTGCTCTATACCTATTTTTTTCGATGTCTTTTACAGCAACTACAAAATATATTGACTGCTTCCTCTTCCTCTTAAGTAATTACACCGTGTCTAAAGATTTACACCGTTTATTGCAACATATAACGTCTTCGTTAAAATCAAAGAATTACTCTTTTAAAAAATTTATCCCGTTTACTGCCTACTCATTTATAGGAAACTTAAAACACATGCAAATTAGTACATTTTTTAAATTCATTTTTAGGTATGGCTGCCGTTTTCTGCTTTAATTTTCTTTTTGTCTTCTTCACACCACTCACTATATAAGCACGACTGGCGAAGAACGAGTATGCACGACCGTAAAATATGGGCGAAAACGTTTTCCCAACGTGAATATATTTTTTTTCCGATTGCCCTTCTATTGCTTTGTGCATTTATTCTGTTCACAATTGTTAAACTTTTTTCACACTATTCTTCAATATGTGATATATTTTATGAATATATTGAAGATGTAAAATTATTACGATTGTATATACTTCTAAAATTATTTTTTTCCATCACAATTAATATTTTCTGCGCCTTGGCCGAAAGAAAAATACGACTGTACTGCGTATACTCGTTTACAGCGATTACACAAAGTTAGTTATTGTCAGTAAAGAGTGATTGCTAAGACAGAGTTGTCTTTATATAATCCAAAAATAGTGTAACAAGAGCACAACAACACAACACAAAAAATGAATTATTTTAATTTCATTAATATTGTAAGCCTTTATTGAATATTGCCTTTTAACATTAACAAATAGAAGAATTCACATGAGGTGAAGAAGAAGAAAATTATTCATGGCTTCATAGTTTTGGTTGAGAAAGAGTTGCCTTCATTTCTGTTCAAGAGCAATGAATTCTGATACAGAGCAATTAATTCTGTTAAGAGCAATGTTTTCTGTTAATGTGGACTGGTTTTCTGTATGAAGTACGAGTCAAATTCTGTTTTTTAATTATACGTACTGTTGTTCATCGATCAAAGAATCATGTCATATGCACACATTTATTTGGTTTATATGCAGACATGGTGAAGATATGGTTTTTTTATTCATTATATATCAATATTTAGAATAGAATTAAACTTTTTTGAAGACGAAGAACAGAATTATTCTGTTAAAAATCTAGAGTTAGATCCTTTGCATATCTTTTCCACTAAACAAAACTATTTTTTTCCATTCTTTTGAACGATTATTATTGACAAAAGTAGATATGTTATTAAAAGTTATATTCGTGTTAAAACCGGTCGTAGAATGTAAAGAAAACACGATTGAAGTTATTAACAAATTCATTTATTGAGAAACGTATAAAAATATTATTATTAAAAATTTATTTATTACTTTATTTTGTTTACTTAGTTTCAGAGTTGAGTCGACTGAAGATATTTTTTATACTCAAGTTAAAAATGATGAAAAATAGGACGAGTGGAAGTTCATCGAAACTTCTTCTACCTCCTGGAGTAAGGAATCAGGCATTTGCGAGTAAAGAATGTTGCAAAGTAATAAATAAAGGAAAGTGATATTGTAAATTTCAATTAAAATTCGTTAAATCTTTCGCAAATATTTTACCACAAGATTTGTTAGTTTTAAGCATTTTTTATATCTACTAAAAAATGTTGTTAACAATTTTTATGACAAGCTGCTATATAAGTAATTTAGGGTAAAATCGAATTATCATTTTTTTGAAAATAGGGTAAAATCGAATTATCATTTTTTTTGAAAATAGGGTAAAATCGAATTATCATTTTTTTGAAAATAGGGTAAAATCGAATTATCATTTTTTTATAAGTAATTTAGATGATAATATACTAAGTAATGAATTTACTCTTGTTTAACCTACTACACTTTTATTATCAAATATCCTAAAACCATAAAAATTCCCTTCGACCATGTTAAAAAATATCCTAAAACCATAAAAATGTATTTGCCATTTGAACATATTCAGAAATATTCTTTACAATGAAAAATATCCCCGACATGTGTTTATATTCGTAAAGATACCAGACAATGCAGTTGTATACATGTTTATATACATGAATAATAAAAATGTTCCAGCTTTCAAATATATAAAGAAAAACACGAGATAGAAGAGCACAAAAAATTTTCTGATCCTGATTGTGTTGGTGTTTATTCCCGAAAGTTTTGTGTGATAGTGTTGTCTCTGTTCTGGAAACATGTTGAATCTTGTTTTGCCGACGGCTTTGCATTTAACAGAGTTGAACCTTTGTTTTCTGTTAAGTTGGAAATTTAACATAGCTGAAAGGCGTTACCATTTAAGTTGTTAAGTTGGTCATTTAACCATTTATAAGGGATTATAAGCGGAATTTAACGAGGGCTTTGTTTGAAAATTGTGACGGTTTAATTTTAGGCTAACTTGTAAAATTAAATAAGTTTAGTTCGCGTATTTTCCAAAACACTAAACATCTAAACATCTAGAGGAAATGATAGAAGAGCAAAAACGACCAAGTCAAGGAAAAAGACTCGGAAACAATCAGGAAACCATTAAAACCATTAAAAAGATTAGGAAATGCCAGTTTGAACCGGTTGAAAAAGTGTTTGTTGCTATAAGCTCCAACTAGACCATGGATTATATAAAGTAGTATTTATTTCTTTGAGAAGCCCGATTGCCGTCACTTATCTTTTGCCATTTCCTGAACTGGTAATTTTTTGTTTTCAACTGTTTACAATTGTTTAAGACTGTTTAAGACTGTTTAAGACTTATAAGACAGCTACCTACGGCTGGTAATTTTCTAGCACATCACGAAGAAAGTTTTCCATTTTCAGCAATAATATCCGTCCAGACCAAAATCTGCGCAGAGTTGAATTATTGGTGGTTTGTTGGTGTCCTTCGCTGCCCCATCCTCCGTTGATTGTTAAAAGTTCTGTAGTTATTTTACACGAATCCAGCTGAAGAAAAGCGTACTTTGAGAACTGTATTAATGTTGCAATATAGAAGGATTATTTGGGATCGATAGTTGAATGCAAGCGTTTTATAAATTAAATTGTTTATATTATAGATTAAATCTGTTCAGTAAATTACTAAAGTGCACTAATATGTTTTCTTTATAAAAACAACAATTTAGTCGCAAGCCGAATTATTTTCTATTTATTTATTTATTTATTCTCACTATGTAAACAATTCATTTGGTTGCGCAATACCATAATAGTAATCAGCCACAAAATTAATTTTTAACTTTTTAGTATGGATTTTGTTTGGTACTAGATTACATTGCACTCGTTTATAGTTCTTGTAAATTCTAATTTATAATAATAAATATATGACCATCGAGGATATTTACTGTACCTTTAATGGCAAAAGTACCATTTGAATTGTGCAAAACTGATCTCTGTGATAATAACATCCATTAGCATAAATTCAGGTTCATCCTGGTCAGCCTGCGTACTCACTACGGTCGCGTTTGTTGAGTGGAGATGGACTAAGCCAATAGATTATTTATATACTTATTATATCTTAATCAATCATTAGCTTTTCTCGGCAGAATGTATACAAATCAATGGGTGGTATAGGAATTCGTAGTAAAAACAGCTGCCGAATGTATTGAAATCAATGTTATTGGGAGTATTGTTGAGAAACAATGAAACAACTATTTGGAACAATTAAACGGCAATTTAAAATATCTTTAACTGAATATAGCTAAAATTGTTAGGCCTCCTTCTAGTCATTCAAAAATTTGTATTCAAAATGTTATGCGATTCAAATGTAGATGGCGTGACTAGAAAAGCAATCATATGATTTTTGAAATATTTTGAACAGTTTTCATGACATTTAGCTTATTTTCTTGTGTACTTCTAGATAATGGATCAGAAAGAGTTCCGAGTCTTGATTAAACATTGCTATTTAATGAAAAAGAATACCGCTCAAACTCAGAGATGGCTTGAAGAGTGCTACGGTAAATCTGCACCATCAAAAACAACTATTTGTCGATGGTTTAGTGAATTTAAATGCGGGCGCACAAGCACTAACGATGCTGCTAGGTCTGGACGTCCCCTTGAAGCATCAACACCAGAAAATATTAAAAGAATCCATCGCATTATTTTGGATGATAGCAAAGTGAAGGTAAGGGAAATAGCTGATATTATTCAGATATCAACAGAACGTGTCAAAAATATTCTTCATGAACATTTGGATATGAAAAAAGTCTACGCCAAATGGGTACCACGCTCATTAACAATCAATCAAAAACAACAACGTGTGAATGATGCAGAACGCGGCTTGAAACTCTATCGCCTTAATGAGAATGATTTCTTGAATCGATTTGTCGCGATAGGTGAAACGTGGATTCATTACCATACAAACCAAAACAATCGAGAATCTACCGACGAAGTAGAAAGTAGCACAGCAAAGCAACCAAAAAAGCAACCATCAACTGAAAAAAAGGTTTTGGTCAGCATTTTCTGGAATGCAGATGGTATCATTTTTATAGACTATCTTGAAAGGAAAAAAACAATTACGAAAGAATATTATCCGGCATTGCTGGATCGCTTTAATGAAAAACTGAAAGTAAGTAATAAACGGCCACAAATGGCAGGAAAAGCAGTCCTGTTCCATCAAGATAACTCCCCGCCCCATATATCCATTAAAGCAATGGCTAAACTAAACGAGTTAAAGTATGACTTACTCCACCAACCTCCATATTCACCAGATTTAGATCCAAGCGATTACTATTTATTTCCTATATTAAAACGTTGGCTACGAGGAAAACGCTTTACCTCACTCGAGGATATAGAATGTGAAACTGATGCATATTTTGATGCAGTTGACGGTTATGCGAAAGGTATCCGAATGTTAGAAGACCGTTGGGATAAGTGCATCGCTCTTGAAGGAAACTATATTGAAGAGTAAAATTGAGTTTAAATTACACCGGAAATTTTCATCAATCAAGGCTATGTGCTTCACTAGGCCTCAATAAGTTGAAGCGGAGAGTTAATATTTAACGCAAATGCTCTATAAAAAAAAAAACAAGAATAATAATAGAAAAATGTTCAAGTAAAGTAAATAATTTGATATTTTTTTTTTTTTTTGGTTTCTTGAGGAGAAATGGACTAAGTCAACAGATTTGTGGCTTATATGTCTAGATAATAAACTGTCGTAATTGTGATCACAAATATATAAAAACGCGACAAAAAAAAAGAGCGGTCATAATAACTGGAGCCGGTAAAATATAATTATGCGTGTGTGTGTAATTGTAATTGGTTGAGTGTTGAAAGTCAAACAGTATTGCAAATTTTAGCTGAAAACGAAGAGAAATGCTGTAGTAATAGAAAATGATTGAACGCAAAAAAAAAAACGAGAAGGAAGAAAAAAAATCTAAAACGATAAATTAGCTTTTCTAAGAAAGCAAGTAATTTCCCCGGGATGACGTACAATTTTTGCTGCAAAGAGATCGAGGAGACCATCATATAACTTGAAGAAGCTAAAAGCATCTCTAATGCCATCAACCCTGTGACATCTGTGACATATCAATTAGACGAGCACTGGAACCCAGTAGAACTATGTAACACAATAGTCCTTGGTATTCAATTAAACGAGGCAGTTCAGTTTTAAAAATATTAGAATTCAAATCGCCGTATCCGATATTCCGATCAAGTCCGATGTCTGTTTTCATAGAAGGAATCCCAACAACAAAGATGAGTGGGTTCCCGCAATCAGCATCAAATTCGGCCTCAAAGGGAAAGTCTTCCCTAAGTCAATCAAATTTAATTATTGTCACCTCCCGGTTGACTACTTTATACCCACCTTAAAGCAATGCTTTAAGTATGGTAGATATGGTCACGTTTCAAAATTCTGCGAAGCTAAGGAGAACAGATGCCTGAACTGAGGGAAATCCCCGAGGTGTGTGGACTGTGAAACTATGAACCATTTGTCAACTTAATTAAGGAAGAAACACCAAGAAGAAGTTTCTATAACAACATAAGGCTAATAGGAGATAGAGAGATAAGCGGGTCTCTCTGAAACCTAGCACCGACCTAGGTTTACTTAGAGAGAGGTCAACGTAAAGATTAAAACGTAGTCTTAAATTCATGAACGAATCTACGTTTATCAAATTCCTTCTTGCGTGAATGAATTATGATCAAAATACTATCTACAAAGGGCACACTTGCATGAATTATGATCAAAATACCATCTACAAACGGGACAATTGCATAAATTATGATCAAAATATTATCTACAAACGGCACACTTGCATGCCTTCTGATAGAAAGTCTTAATACCGAAGAATTCATCAAATAACATGACGTGTTGTATCAAGTGTATGTGAATGTTAAGCGAATGATAAATTGATATTTGTTAAATTTTCAAATGTTTTTGTATACAATAAAGAAGAAATTTTATTTAATCAGAAAATTATGCTATATGTGCTTCTACTAAAAAAAATTTCATGCAAATGTGTCAGATATAAACAAAAACAAAATAAAAAAGTTACAGAGAGAATTTTTCTTAACTTTTGTTTACTTTTATTAAAAAATTTTTAGATATTAGTCGTTTTCAGACGCATACGAGTTGATTTTTGGTAATTTTGAGATAACTGTGGACTAATTTTTGATAACTTTGTAACTGTTGGCAACTTTGTTTAAATATAGAATATTATTACATACTATGGCCGCGTCCGTTTTGACATATCTCAGCGAATTGTCGATTGTTGATTTGCTGAATTAAAGAACATAATTATGGCCACAAAAGGATTGTTTGCCGTAAATTTCGAAGTTTTTGGATTAGTTCAAGGTGTGTATTTCAGGTATTTATCATAACCACTATTGCATCTCTGCTATTTCTAAAATTGATTTGAACGTTGTTTATTTTTGTGTTTGTACAATTGTTATTGTAATAAAACTGATGTCCAGCAGCTAAATACTCATTAGATTTTGTTATGACATCGCTGAACATGATAGAAATGGTTATCGCGATGATGATGATGATCCAGTTGTTTGTTGATATTGGTTGAATCGCATTTATAACGAAGACTAGATGTGCAGCAGAGAAATGTCGTTGATGTAACATTTGCACCTATAGCGACATTCTCATTTAGTTTTATCGCTATCGCAGCAAAGTTGGACGTAAGATGAAGCGTGACGGTCAAGAACACTGCCAATAGCACTCGCAAATTAATCTGTCGGAACTTAACTCCTCTCTGACTTTTTATGTCTTTAGTACATTTCCGTAACCAATAATAACAGCTTTTTAACTGATCAGAACTTAACTGCATTTTGATCCAACATTCCCCCATTGCTTATGAGCTAGTATTCAAATTGTGATTTAATAATTGATTATAAACAAAACACTTTCTCTCTACTAAAAATCGTTTCATACAATGACCTGTAAACAAATCAATTATTTATTTATATTTTCAGGAAATATACTGTGCAGCGGGCAAAAGGCTTGGGGTTAAGAGGATGGTGCATGAATACTCGTAACCGAACAGTACAAGGACAATTGGAAGGTCCAGAAACGAAAATAAACGAGATGTAAGTGGTTGTATTAAATTTTGCAATCAATGAATTTAAATAATCCTCTTTATTAGGAAAGTTTGGTTAGAAACTAAAGGTAGCCCTAGTTCGCGGATCGATAAGGCGGTTTTTAGTGAAATGAAATCGATAGAAAAATATTCATTTTCCGATTTTGAAGTTAGACATTAATTGGTTTATACGCTGCCTAAACAAGTTTGATTTTGTAATTAGATTAGCATTACTTTAATATAAAGAAGACAATTAATTATTAAATATTTATTTATTTATTTATTTATTTATTATTATTATTATTAACTATATAAAGTGCATTTAAACGGGAAATGAAAATAATTTATGATGACGACGTTAATAAAAACTTGTTCTTCTTCAGCTTTACACTGGTTATTATTATATTTTAAACTATTAAGTAATATGAGGAGGATTAATTGCATGTAAAAATACTATGAAAGAGTGAAGTCATTAAACTCTGAAAATATAGAATATTGATGATTATTCACATTTAGCTAAAGTTTTGGCAGCTTTGAAAGTATTATGCATCAACATAGCAACAGTCATTGGGCCGACGCCACCCGGCACGGGAGTTATCCAACCGGCTACTTGGCGTACCTCTGTGGATGTAAAAAGAAAGTGTAATTTTTACTTGCATAAAGCATAAGTCGTTCACTTACCTTCAAAGTCTACATCGCCCACTAGTTTAGTTTTGCCCGTATTCGGATCTGTTATACGAGTTATTCCCACATCTATGACACAGGCTCCAGGTTTAACCATTTCCTTAGTTATAAGACCGGGTACACCCGTAGCGGTTATTATAATATCAGCCATAGAGCAGTACTTGGCCAGCTCTTTAGGCGGCGTAAAACGATGACAAATAGTTACAGTGGCGTCTAAAGCTTTTGTTTCATTGCGTCCATCCGCGTGCATTAGCATTGCAATAGGCATACCCACGTTTTTGGAACGCCCTATTACAACTGCATTCTTGCCAAATGTTTCGATATTATTGCGCCTCATCAATTCGATGACACCAAGCGGCGTGGCCGGAATCAATGAATCCATATCAAGACACATACGTCCTACGTTGTAGACACTAAAACCGTCGACATCCTTTTCGCGAGCGACAGCGTTACATACTTTACGCTCATCGATATGCTCAGGAACTGGCAGCTGCACTAAAATGCCGTCTACATTTGGATCATTATTTAATTCATCAATTACATCCAACAATTCTTTCTCGCTAATATCGGCCGGTAAACTCTTCGTGCAGCTTGTTATGCCCACCGTGGTAGCTGTTTTCATTTTATTGTTTACATATATTTGGCTTGCCGGATCTTCGCCCACCAGAATGGCTGTGAGATGGGGCGTGCGATTGCCTTTCTTAACGAATGCTTCAATATCCCTGCGTATTTCTTCACCAATTTGGGCAGCAACTGCTTTTCCATCGATAATTTCCGCCATACTACGAAAAGAAATGTGGCCTTGAGTATTAATTTCAAAGGAAACTTGAACAGATTTTTAATTTAATATTTATTTCATATTACAATTCGGATTAATAAATCTTTAAAATTTTCAAGATTTTATGCAGAGCTTGGCATTACATAGTTTGCTAAAGGTCTTACTTTTCCGTTAAAAAACGTTACGGAACATTTTTTTCAATTTTCCCTCGAATACTCCCACGCTAGTCATCAATCCAATTCTTTAATAGGACTAAGTCATTTTTTCAGTGTTCCCATTCCTGAAGTCACAATCCAAATTTCGCAACAGGTAACTTTTGTCCACTCCATGTTAACAATTAGGGCACTGTTGCTTTTTTCGGAATTTACCTTTTCGAGAGACTCTGCAGCACCTAAATTTGCAGATACTTCTCGACACAAGCAAAATAGACGGACCACCTGGTATAACGGATAAAAATTTATCCTAATCTCTTATAATACTATCTACGTGACGAGAGGAGGGATCTAGATTCCTTTGTCTCTCTTTATTCTCCTTTATATTATCCTATTCGCTTATTAATCGTGCTGCTTGCCTTCGAAAATCTCGTTCATCGTTTAAGCCGATCTTCCCCTAACAAACTCTCTTTCTTCTGATCATCACAGTGCGTGCTACCATGTACCATGGAAAAGTCCATCTAAACAAGTGTAAAATCTATTCAGTCATCGCTACCAGGACCACGTCTACCACACTTTCATCATTAAACGACCCTTCAGTTCGTTCACGACATATTGGCGGCGCATTAAATTTTTTGCACAGCACGACCTTGCGAATGATTCATGCAAAAAAATTTTATTCATTGTTATTGTTTATACATACGGGACATCCCCTAAACAACAGGCTAAACCCATATACACGCATGCATATGTATTAACCTGACCACTACTACTACTACTACAGATAGACATGAAGGTAACAGTCAATCCGTGAAACACAATCTTAAAGGTTTTATTTGTATAAATAATAATAAATTTAATTGACACTGTGGTTTTTTTTACATCTTTACTCTTCTTCTTCTTGCTCGTCTTTTTGCTTACTTCTTTAGTTAACAGCGAAATCTGTTAACAGAAATTGGTCGGTTTAGCAGAAAATGTCCAGAAATGGCCAGTTCAGATATGATATCAAAGAAAGTTTCTCTTCTTTTTCTTTCACTTGCATGACAAATTTTTGTTATATTGATGTATCAAAATATTATTACAATTATTAAATTTTTTTTTTTTATTATTATAATTTTAAATTAAGTTAAACAATGATGTAATAACTTTAACGATTTAAAAAACATAGAGAAAGAATGGGATTTTAATTATTATTATTTTAATGCCCTATATATATATATAGATACATTGCCTGACATTGCCTGTAGCGAATTCGCTTGAAAATAAGAAAGCCTTAGCCGATCAGAAAGACGAAGAAACGGACACTTACTCCGTGCAAGCGGACGTGTGGATGTTCCAGTAAGGCAACCAGCGCTGCTGGTAATTTCCTTAAATTGGATAGTTGAAAAATATAATAACAATTTAATTCCAGGCACACCTGCTTAACGGAAGTCTTACCCTCGCCTATTTTAAATGAGAACGGCCTTCCATATCAAAAGAGAAGGGAATCGAAACATGCTGTCCTTTCACCAATCGCAATCACGAACTTTATAAATTAGTAATTTACTTTCAATATTGTTTTTTCTTTTTTTTTTTTTTGTAATGCATTAGAAAAGTAATTGTGCGTAAAGAAGAAGATAAATTGGTTTTAAGCAAACTTAAGGAATAACTTAATTTGAATATTGATAAAAATTGATATTAGAGTAAAAGCAGTCGAGCGCACGAGCATTATGTCCACTGTCGGATTTACTTATATAAAGGTTATCATTTATCGTCCTCCGTCTACGCATTCATTATAAAATTGTTTAATATACTCTTGTTTATTCTCGGCCCTCTTCCATGTTCAATTTCTGTTGAATAATTCATGAGGAAAACCGCAGGTGTTGCAGTCAGGAAAGATGAGCAATACATTTACATATACAATAAAGAATTTCCTTCCCTTTCTCTCACTTAACACTACTGCACTGCCCGCTGGAGTAACGGAAAGAAAGCTTGTCAATAAAATTCAGCGAAATTAAGTCTGACGCCTCTGTGTCTGTGTCTTACGTAAATGGCAACAAGTAATTGGTAAGCAAAAGGTAAATGTAAATCCCCAGCAATATATATGTAAAAGCTTATATACATCTCTACGATAATCTAATTGTGAATACAAAACAACTATTGATATGACTATTTTAGTGAACATTGAAATTTTTCTTTTACTAAAATTTGAATCCAATTGAAATGTTCAGTATACCACATACACTAAATGTACATTAAATGATTTTCGAGAAATTCTTTGTTTTGCTGGTGGCACTACATTTATGCCTATATGAATATATATAAATATATATATATATATACATGAAAATAATTATCACAAAAGACAAAGCCACAATCGAGTATTTAGGAAGGTAATCCTCAATCCTAATTTTTCGTATCCAGTCCGGGCGAATATGCGTAAGAGGCAGAAAGAGGAAAGACACACTACCGCATTATGTGTAACTTTAAGTAATAAACTGCCGTTGCTATCCCGCAGCATACACATTATAGAAATATCTGAACGTCTATATAGAGAGAAATAGTTGAAAATTTTTGGATTTTGGGGTTGATTTTTTCTCATTTTGAAATAACTGTGGACTAATTTTTGGTAATGTTGAGGATTCAATTTTTATGCTACAAGTTTTTTTTCATAGAAGAGGATTTGCAACGTATTGAAAACAACTCTGCGACGAATATTTAGTGGAGGGAAAAATAAATTTTTGCATAATTTTCGAAAAAATAAAACCAAATGAAAAAGGATGCAAATGCAAGCAACACAAAAATACATATATATTATTATATATATTATTCTTAACTGCTGTAAAATATATAAATCACCTTTTCTTTACTATTGCAATTTTGATTGATCAGACGCGATATTAACGGTCTTTCGCTTTCCAATTGTTGACAGATAAATTCCTTAATTTTCACATTCCATTCCTTTTTAGGTTATATTTCGTCAAAAACAACTATACTTTTTAATTTATTCTTATATTATCCTATATATCCTGTCTCATTACTCACGGCGTATCATTGTTAAGTATAACTAGGAATAGATGTGGCGGTAATATCGTATCGGTGGTCCCAATACCTTTTCCCATTCAAATTCATCTGCGGTGCATCTTGAGAATATTCTTTCCCGGCATGATTCGATGCTTGTTCAATGTCTTTGGTGGATGTGATTTCATTTTATTTCCAATAAACAGACAACCGAAGTTAATAGAACCAAAGACGAAATACATTTTATCATTAATGGAATCGATCGATAGATGCACAAAAGATATACTAATTGATAAGACCCCATACATACAATGTCGGTTGGATTTAATGTCGAGGTGGGGTACAAGAATTGATTGTTGATTTAAAATTAACAAATATTGCTTTGTTAGACAAACGGCAGATACGGTTGCATCTGTGCTTATAATCCTAGCGAAATAAACAGTGAAACCTATTCCAGCATGGTTGAAGTGAAAACATTTTGGTAGGACAGCGCTGCACCTTGCGATTCAATCAAGCAGTAACGTCATGGTGGACTTACTTGTGTCAGTTCCAAATGTTGATATAAATCTCATTCAAGTCATTTGGAATTAGCTGCAAAACTTATAGACTTGGGTGCACGCCCCGAATTCCCTTAAATCTCATCAATCACCACAATCACTTGCAAGTTGTAGCTAATGAAGAGCTCGAGGATTCTGCAATATTTCTGGCTCACTTCTCCAATGTAATGAAATGCAATGACCCTTACCTAACATAATAACATAATAGTGCGTTAATATTGTAAATAAGTATTTTATTTCAATAGTATTGATTTTTGCTTTTCATGCTGAGAATAATTAATTAAGCAAATGTTTAAACACATACAGGCGTAAGAAGCCAACACCTTAACTAAATTTCACAAATTCACTTATCTTTATGAAGAAGTTCTTATGATATCTAGAAGAGTTTTATCTAATTGGTCTAAAGCTAAACTGAAGAGCTGTAAATCGATATCATCGAGATGACGTTTAAGCCAATTGAGGACGCCTTCAGCACTTTTGAAAAAATCATATTCAATATCTAATATCCGGGCTAGTATCTTCCATTTATCCCCTTTGTTCATAATTAAAGATAATTTTTGAAAAGTGTTTACATTATTAAGCGCTATCTTTAAAGTGCATTTATCGAGAGATTCCTCGATTTTAATTTCATTTGTTTGTAGTAGCATAGGCTCGTCGTCATTCTCATCGTCGTCATCATCGGTTGATGATGATGTTGCTTCTTCTTCTTTGATAACAAGTTTCCGATCGTATTCTTCCTCTCTATCGTTGACCGTTTCTTTGATTGCGTTAGCTATAACGCTACCAGATATAAGATCACTCATCTCGTCGTCTGTATAATGATTTTGAAGTACATTCAAAATCTCCTGCCCCGATTTACTACCAATAGACAACTCCTTGGCCAAATCGTAGGGTGTGTAACCGGCTGCATTCTGTGCTTTCAATATTGATACTTTATTTTGCGTTTCTAATATAATTTCCACTAACGGTAAATGCTGCTGTTGAACAACCATATGCAAAGCATTACCGCCATCCTTATTATTAGCAACGGCGGCTATCGTTCTATCATGCCTAAGCATTTTAATTGCCATCTCGTAATTATTATCACGTATGGCCAGATGTAGAGGAGTGAAACCGTCATCGTTTAAAATGTTCAATTGTAAAATGATATTGGCATTGATGAAACTTTCCAGACATTTTGAGTATTTTTCACGCACAGCTATATGTATCGATGTATTGCCTTGATTATCTTGTAAATTTGCCCGGCAACCTAAAGTTATCAAAGGTCGTATATACTGAGCCCGGTTATATAGACAGGCATAATGTAATGCTGTTTGTCCATTGCTATTTAATAATGTGTTCAATAAGTTTTGGATATTGAAATACGTTAAAATATGGCATAATTGCATGGCCGATTTGTTATTATCGGCAAGGACAACTTCATGCATTATGGAATCACCGTTATCGCTATTATCCAAATGTTCATTGAAAATTTTTGTTATTTGCTCGGCTGCGGAATGCTTAACGGTCTCATTGGCAATAGGTTTCTCATTACGTACATCGACATATATTTTTGATATACGTTGCAAATAGGGTGACAAAGTGCCTGTTGTTGGTTGATTAATGTCAGGCGCGTGTGAATAGTTGTCCATTGTCTTCTTTTCTATCAATTTTTTTTTGTAATGCATAATTTTTGATCGTTCGCCATCGCCACCGCCAACGCCATCCTTTTCCAAGCGGCCACAGCCATCAAGGGTCTGAATCAAATCATTCAAATTCATATCATCCGAATAACTTGAAAGTTTCTTCTTTAAATCGTTGTCTTGCAAAAGACGTTCAAGCTCTTCCATCATCTCAGCTGATGTCAAAATTTTCGATTGCTCATGTACGGTCTTGGGTAAATCACCTGAACTAATATTGCTATTACTTCGGCTTGAAGTTGTTGAACAAGTGCGTTTACGTTTCCTTGATATTACAGCCTCGCGGGGCTTGTAACGAAACGTTACCGGAGGAAAACTGCGTTCATCGTCCGATGGTCGCACAAGTTCAATGAAAACCTCTACAAAACGATCGATATCGCGATCTTTGTAAGGCGGCGTTTTGCAAACAATCGCGTATTGATGATGCACATCGGATTCGCGAAATTGAGCGAACGCCTCCCAAATTTCACCGTCCTCATCGTTCATTTCATAAAAACGAACTTTTATATTTTTTTTGCTAACCTTCTCTACCAATAATATAAGATCCTCATTACCAAGTACGCTGCCTGTGCAGATACTTAAACGTGTAATACGCAAATCTCCGGTCTGAGCCGATTTACGATTGTTGATAAGACGCGAATAAACGGGGGCAGCAATTGGCACATACGTACCATTCTCTTCCACCCGGAACGCTTCATAGCAAAGTCGCACCTAATGTCCATGAAGGTATTTATTAAAAGTAATCATTCTCGATTATTCTCCGCTTTCTTGCTTACCTGATTTAAATTCATATCTTTAGCCTCCTTTTCAGTTTGTTTATGAATTTCTTGTTCCTCCTTTGTAGTTAATTCGCGACCGCCTAACTCAAATATTAAACGTCGTCGTTTCTTTTTTAACAATTCACCCATAATGAATTTCTTAGCGGTATGAATGATTCCCATGTTAGCAAATTTCGCATAATAACCAAGTTCACCAACTTTTACATCGTGCGGATCACAGACGTCGTCGTCGTCTTTGCGTATGACAAGCTGATGCGAATGTGGACTCTCTAAATTTGCTTGGAACAAACTGCAACGAATTATTGCTGGACCTTTATAATCAACTAAACGCACTTCCGGAAATGTCTTTGGATTCCTTTGCGAGTTAGCTCCATTCAACGAGCCATGCGTTCCATGCATTTCGGATATATATCGAAATCGGAATTTTTCCATTGGCTCTTCAGTAATTTCCAATCGGGCTTCATATTTCATTTTTTCATTAAAGTCGCCGCCACGATTTCCCGTATGCGACATTTGCGCAAATTGGGATTGTGTATTGTATGGCTGAGTAAAAGCCATCGGCTGCTGTTGTTCATATTGGGACATTGACTGAGACGACATTACATTAAGTGTGGAAAATTCAGCTGGTAAAGCGGATGCAGGCGATTGTGCTGGTGAATAACCCGAAGCAGGAGAATTCCATGGACCTGTTGAATATCCGCTTGTGCTTGTATTTGAGGATTCACTTCTATATGGTACTCTCTCCATTGTGTCCATATCAACAATGTCCTTTTCACCATAATATTCGTTTATCATGTTTGACGTTTCAAAAAAAAAAAATAGAAATAAAAAAAATGCTCTGTATATATGCTTTATTCCTTTTCTTTTTCCACCACTTTTTACAGTAGTAAAATCTCGCCAAAACGATTGTAAAATTTTCTCTATATATGTGTATATATATAGCACTGCGTAATTAACTCTTTTTACTCTCTTCTTCTTCCAGTCATCAGGCATCAAACATTGTAGTGTTGATATTTCCTTCCAAGTTTGATTATCGTGTGAATGTTGGCTTCGCGTTGTTGATATTGAAGTAGGTATTTCCCCGTACTGCTTGTAATATATGTAATTAACACGTTTTCAAATATGACTGACTTTAATTAGAGAGTGAGTCAGCGATTTCTTTTTATTTTTATTTTTCCTTCTTTTTATCCACCTTAACACAATTTAGTTTTCTTTTTATGTAAATTTAAATAATCTCTTTGCGGAGAGGAAAAAAAAAGAAGAAAATATAACCTTAAAAATGAAATGATATACAAGCGTTATATATATTGTTCGGTTAGATCACGTTTAGCGCAGCAATGAGAATGATTGATGAGAGAGGCAAAAATCTCTACACAAGCGTTTGTGTAAAGAACATTTTTGAAAACTTTTAATGCAAACAGGTTATGATAACTGGGAACCCCAAGAAAAGCTCTTAAAAAGCTTCACGTATACACCACAACACTATTTTACACGGCTGATATATTGCGCAGACATTGCAACTATAGCAATTACAAACAAAAAAAAAAAAAAGGAAAAAAAAGACACGTAAACTTTTAGCAAAATACAAAGTGGAATACGATAGCTAGTCCATCTGTCACGCAATATGTACATTGCGTTACTGTTATAGAAAATAAATCTGTTAAAAATCAAAATCCATTCTTATATAATGCATGGTGTAGAAAGACCATATTATGTGCGAATGAATATTAATCTAAATATCTTCTTTTAATTGCACTTACACATAGACAATGTATTGTTGACATGTTACTTAGAAAATTATTCAGCATTTGCGTGTAGTGGGATAGATAACAAATAATTAACTATATGCAATAAAGTCGGGGAGAGGGCAAGGTTTTAACATAGGTAAACACTATTATAAATCCATCATAGCTACAGCAGACGATGCACAAGGATTTATAGACATAATTAGGAAGAAAAAACATATTTTCCAGCCCAGAGAGAGAGATTGCTTATTAAACGATATTTAATTGCCCGATATTTGCGAAATAAAAACCTTCTTCTTCTTCTTCTGCGAATTGCAAATAAACAACAATTGATTTGCTGAGTCGAGTAAAAAAAATTCAAAGTGAACATGAAGGTCTTTGTTTGAACCTTAATAAGGTTAGCGATTAGCCTGTTTGTTTATTACCATGTGGCAATTGAGAATAGATTGTACTTACATTCTCCTTTTTATCTATATACAGTTTTTTGACAGTCATCGAAACAAACAAAAGTTTATGTATATAATTTCCAAAGTTAACTCAGGAAAATTTGAACAATTTCGAAAGGTGTAGCTTTAGTGAAGTGTTAAGTTTCAGTTGATTGCTATGAAACGGATCGAATCCCTTTCCATTTTGTTCTAAAACGAATAAACACTGAAATTACGACTTCAACAGACATGTTGTTGAATTCTTTGTTTGTGCTGTTGGTCTACTAAAATTTACAAAAACATATACATTTTTACCAAAGAGCAATTTAAATTACGGCCGAAGTAAAAAAGTTTTTCATCTTTCTACCTCACCTCGTTTCGTTCAAGTCACTCGTTAAATAACTTTGGTTAGGTAAATTTGCTTACGTCTTCATTGCAACTCTGTCTGTTTTCTTTTTTCTCTTTTTTGCAATTGTATACATCATGCGTTTATTTTTGATAAAAAAAAAAAAAAAAAGTTTGTATTAAAAAAATGAAAAACACACATGTTTATATGCTTTCACGAACAGCTACAATATTCTAATCTTTCACCATTTCCAAGGAATAATATTTCTGCAAACAAACCTGTGCGTGCTGTTGCAACAAAACCGAATATTGATATCGACAGGTGTTTTAAAAGCAATATAATTTACTGCACGTTTACGAAAAATTGTTTTAATTAAGCAAAGCATAATTGCGAGTTTGTTTTTTCAATATATTTCTGCCAAATTAATTTTACACTGCGGACATTTCACTTTATCCATATCTGGATATGAAGTGTACGTAAATGCAGAAAAAAGTTGTCAATCATAGAGTTAGAATTCAATCAGAGTTATTTATGTGAGATAAATTATCTTTTTCAGTAATTTAAAGAATTTCCGATTTTTTGCAAACTTCGTTATTAATAATTACCTTGTATGTTTAAAAAAAAAAAAAAAGGAAAAAAAAGGATTGTTTCACTTATATTGTAAACTAAACTTTCACTAAACTTCACCGCGATAAAAAGACGTTCAAATTGAAAAACACGATCGCATGGATATGCATACTACAGTCTAAACTTTTCAATAAATAGAAGCGAAACACATGGAAATTGGTATGTAAAAGTAAAGGTGTTTACTCAATTTGTTTTTTTTTTGGATATATTTAGGTGAGTTGATTAGGCCTATATACTACTACTACTTCTTCGCACTTCATGCATCAATAATTTAGTTAAACTATTAATTAAGGAAAATCATTATCAATATTTACTGGAAGGTGAGTTTTTTTTGTTTCTTAAGGAATTTATTTGATCGACTTTTCTTATCGAAATCAAAGCAGAATTTATAGTTAAAGAGAAGAGGAGAGGATAAAAGAGGAAACGCTTAATATACGAATACACTGTAAAATTTAATGAATGATTTTAATCTGCCATTGGACACGTGCACAAGTTTAATTTGACAGTGAACCCTCGTGAATAGAGAGGCGAAATAAAATTTCAACTTAAAAGGAAAAGGTCATAATTTCGTAAAAATTTATTATCAAATAACGATTTGTTTTTATTCTAAAATTTTTATACACTATGAGCCATACGTACTGATAACGAAGATTAATCATATTATTGTTATTATTTATTTACTTTTTTTTTCTTTTTCGGAAAAAACATTCTATCACAGAAGCAAAAACTTATAGTCGAGAGACTAAGGGATTAGGTTCTGCAGGCATTTCAGATTGACTTAGGGAGATTATATTGACGTCATTTTGGGACTGCAGTCGTTATTTTGATGACTGTGTAGATTTAGTAACAAACAAAGATAAGGTAACAACAACATTATTAACATATATTTAAATAATAAAAATTTTACTGGGTCATCGGGGTCGTAGCTCATTATGGATTCAAAATTTTTGTAAAAAGGAAGCAAAAGATGGTAAATACACTTTATACACTTTTTTTTGTCTGTTGAAGACGAACTCTATCTTAGAAAAAAAAATTACTTTGACAAATAGCTCCGGATGACATCTACATATACTTGCATTCGCTTATTAGACCATTTCGTTTTTACATTTTAAAGCTTAATATGTACGAATGTATGCGACACGCAAAAGTGCTCGAGCGACTTGAAAATCGATCCTGCACCATTTGCTGTAGAAGGGTATATTTAGTTTGTGTGGATGTGCTCAACATCCGCAAAGAATTGAAATAGACGCACCTATTATCATACCAAATCAATCCAAGTTTATGCGTCCGTCAATCTGTTTACCTTGTTTTATTTACTCAACCTACATGTCGCTATTTTTGAGATATTTTGATGAAATTTTGACTACTTTTTCCATTACTCCCTAAATAAAGCCTTATTTTGAAAAGTCGTTTCATGAATAACAGTACTATCGTAATTGTGGCAATTTGGGCCGCATCTTCTCACAATGTTTGTTTGAGGGAATCTGCCAGCAGAAATTAAAACTGGAGGAAAGTGAATAGTTTAAGTGGAAATCTTGGGAACGGTTTGAAAGATCTCTACGCTTGGTCTACGTGCAAATCTAGAACTTGCTTCGGGAAATACGTATGAAAAGATCAATCGCCATAGGCCGCAGCCGTCGTAAATGATTTCGTTAACCATGATCCTTTGATTCCATTTTATATTCTAATTTTGGTTAGAGATAGGCGATGCAAATTATTAAAAAAATATTTCTTGCATAGTCGGAAAAAGCTTAAGCCATTTATTGTTCCTTCTTATTTATCGAATATATTTTCTATGTACTCTCGATCGCACGATTACAGCGCATGGTATTCGTGAATGAAAATCTGTCTTTTGATTGAATTTGAAATCCTATGGTAAATCTCAACTTTACTCTCTATTCTTTATATAAATTTGTGTGAAAATTGTTTTTAGAGGTCAATCAAACGTTAGAGATTTATCAAATTTCAGTTTTCTATCCTAATTTTTATGACTACAATACAATTCATTTGGATTACAAATATTGTGCTTCCACCTTAACTCAACATCTAAAAAAAGCAAAAAAATATTTTATTTTGATTTTTACATTTATCTCTGATTGTAATGGAAATGAAAATTAGCAATTTTAGATTTTGAAGACCTTAAGATTTTCCATTTGTTATCTCTCTTTTTTCAAATCGTTAATCGTTGGTCGTGTTTTTGTTTAGTACTTTTTTTTTTTTAAATCTTTGTTGATAAATAAAGATGCAATTAAATAAAAGTTTTTCAAGTTTTCTTAACTATAACTTTATTATTAATCATATTAATTACTTACCTTGTAACGTAACGCATTTTATTTTTTTTTTCTTATAAACTGTAATAATTTTCACGTATATTCGGTTAAAAAAACACTTTTACTTCAAAAACTTAATAAGTTATTCACTTATGGCAGATTATGGCAGACTTTCTTCTTAACTTAATTTTTAATATTTGCTTTCAAAAACTAAAACGCTTATTGACAATTATGATTAAGCGGCTAGCGGCTTTTATAGCAAATTTTTAAGTACCAATCAGCTTTGCTTTAATAAGTATTAAACCTCAAGTAGAAAATGATAAAGAGAAACATGCAAGCAAGAATGAGTAAAGTGAACGTTTTGAGTTTAGTTTATATTTATTGGTTTTATAAAGTCTTATGGTTGCATTAGCCAATCACGTATCGTGTCGTAGCGAGCACGTAACAAACAAATAATAATCATACATACTCAATAGCGCAACTCAATTGATATGAACAACGGCAATTATACAGAAAACGAAAAAAAGTTAAACTGTCAAATTTTTTTCACCAAAGCAATTTTAACTTTACATTCAGCGTTAAAAGAAATTAAGGTATTTTTATCTGGCAACAATAAATATAGTTTTTATTTTTTAACGCTACTCAGTAAACCATTTGTTGTTAATTTGCTGACTCGCAGAAGAAGAAGGATAACTTTGAAAACTTAAGACCCAAGTAGTAATGGATTTTTCTTGTGTCCTCAATAGGCTTGTATATTGCAATTTCCGCAGATCGCAGGGCTTATAATCAATGGTATACTCTGTTCCTAATACGATTCTTTTCATTCTTTTCAAAGCAGAAGATCTGTTAAAAATTACAAAACTTTTGAAATAACAAATTTCACATAAAATCTATAGCGCATTGCTTAATTCTAATAATTAAAATCCTTATGGGATTCCCTGACGAATCTCATAACAAGAAAGTACTCAAAAATAAAAATTCTTCCAAAACACACAGTGGCAGGGGTTTTTCCTTTTTTTCTGGCAAAATTAATCCAAAATACCAATAACTCCTGTAAAAATCCTCTAAGGGATGCAAAGTTGAGAAGTAGCGAATGTATTGACGATAATGCGGAATTAGCCAACATGCTTTCAAACGACGACGATGACTTTAAAAGCATTGAAATTCCCAATCGAAACTATATAAAATGTAAATAGTTTTAAACGGTCTTGTTTGTAAACAGTTGATAAAAATAAAAAAATGTTGCGTTTACCTTAGGGACTTTTAACCTGAAAATAGGAATAACGCGTTATTGTGCGCTGACGCATCGAAGCTCCGTTGGGAATGAATGAAAGTTGAACACGTGAGAAGCAGTGTAAGCGAATACAATGAAGCCGTCGATGCCGAGAAATTTTTGGACTTTTTATGAATCTATTTAGAAATTGACTAGTTATATGATCTAGATATATATAAACAGCTAACGTTAGAAGAGAATGAAGAAATATTCTTCATTGTGCCTTGCGGCCAAAGCAAGATCTCAAGAGGTGGCAAAGTCTTATTTATTATCCTGCTACGTAAGGACATGCGAGCCATGAAAATGATCGTATGGAAACGTAAAAATGTTATCGAGCAACTGGTATAATATAAACACAAGGTGGTGCGTATATATTTTGTAAATATATAAATGTATTCACTGATGTTTTGAGATGTTGTCACGAATTGGGTTATCCGGCCATCAACTGAGGCCCGCTGAAAACGAGATGGATGTAGTTGCAGCAGTGGCCAGCGTAGGTCGAAATGAGGCGGTTCCTGTGGTATCGATAAGTTGGAAAGAATAGCAGTGTCCCGCAAAGAAGCAAAATTGTGCCTGCCGGCGCATTAAAAAACAAAAACGATCATAACTTGACGAATGCGAAATAAAAACTCTTTCTTTATATACTCACGCATGCATGAACGGGATTGTTTATATTATTGCTTTGAGTAAAGTAAATTCGGTCATGAAATTATCAACTAGTTGCTTATCTAAAGTGCTTTTAGCTCTTTCGTATAAGTGCGCCATATTTTTCGGATCCCCTTGGTCACGTTCGAATTTAATATAATCAATCCACACTTGAGAATTAGTTTTACCAAAGTAATGTGTAGCATTTTCATAGCATTTCCGCCATCTGGACTTGTCTACCCGAAACTATATATATATATGTATAAATTAGAAATAAATATGTACATTTATTAGCGGTAGAATGTACTTTCAACATACCACTGACAAGGCTTTACTCTCGACGTCGGCCATTTTTCGATGCAATTCCAAACAAGGAGGCGGCATTTTACTTAATTCGTCATATTCTCTCCGAGTCCTATCCAAAGTCGACGTGGCAGAAATATATTCTAAATAATCTGCTCTGAAGGGAGCAAACTCTAAACTTAATTGCATGGCGGCATCCTTGAAAAATTTTAAAAACTTCTCGTTAGCTTCGCTAGGACGAGTTTTAAAGAAAGTAATGGCCATACGCCAAAGTGACACAGAAGATGCAGGTTCCAATTGATCCTTGGCTTTACGAAATATTTCTAAAAACTTTTTATCATTATTCTCAGTCATATACACAACCATCCACATTTCATAGTACAATAAAGTTTTCTTCAAATGTGTTGCTTCTGTTAACATTTTGGTAGCGTTTTCTACTCCTTTAGCGCCTTTTAGTAACATTTTTATGCAAGCATAGTAATGATCCTCGTTCATAAGTTTGAAGGTGTGCCCTTCTTTGAACGCAATTGCGAGGCATTTACGTTTCAAAATAGGTTGATTTGTTAGATCTTGATTTAATTTTAGCATTGCATTGATGAAATTTGAAAACATTGTGGCTGTGGGTACAGTGCGAACGCCCACTTGATAAACATGCACACATAACTCGATGCGCCGCTTTAAAGTACGTACTTGCCACATGGATTTTCCTTTAGGGAACAATTTGTCTTCTCTATCTTCGCTTGTTTGGCTTCTTTCAGCGTCACCTGTTGCAAGGATTGGCTTTTGAGGAATATTTTCTTCTATTATTATTGATGATTTCGAAGACATGGACTTTAGGTCTATCATACTAAGGCCTTGTAGTTCTCTCTGTGCCAAGGCGTCCCAAACAGACTCTTCGCGAGAGAAATTGATCATCAAATCATCGATTATTTCTTTTTGTAAGGACGCAGTTATATTAACATACTGTTCTCCTTCGCAACCTTTTAACAATTTCATAAAATAGAAAACATTGGAAATCTTTGTCTTGCTATTACGATAAACCAAGGCGGCTCTTTCCAATCCTAGTTCCTGTTCACTAGGAGCTGTTTTCGATGTTGGAGTGCAACTCATTTTTGATGCCTCCTTAAGGAGTATAATGAAGAAGGTAATATTCAATGCCTCCGAGTCGGGATGTCTTTGAAGGGCACGGAAAAATATCTCCTTAACCTTTTGTATATTACAGACGTTTTCATGGACCCAAAGGCCAGCATTGCACCATACCGTTGGTTTATCGCCGTGGTACTGCGCAAAATACGAAACTTTAAATAAAATCTCTCATGCCTTGTATTGGTAACTTACCGCCAACATTTTCTCATATATACCTGTGACTTCATGCGGTATGGATTTTTTCGAAAACATTATAAAATTATCCCACAGCCTTTCTTCATTAGGACAAAAACGTAATCCTTCTCGATAGAGTTTTATAATACGTGTAACAATAGAATGCTTCAATTCGCTCAAATTTTGTCCTTGACTTCTTTCTTTTTCTGTTATCCATTTATGTATTAACTTTTCATGGCGTATAAAATCAGCATAATCTGCCACGGATCTTTGACTCTGAAATATCTTATTCAGCAAGTTCTCACGTTTGCGTTTTGTTTCACGTATTTGATCGTCCGGACAAATTCCCAATGTTTTCATTTGCTCATATTCGGGCAAAAGCCTTTCACGGATTTCTTCAACAAATTCAGCCATTTTTCACACTTTTTATTTAATATCTTTTTTTTTGAACGTTGAGTTAAGATGGACCAATCCAGTTGGTGGCTTTTATGTCCAGTAAATAAGCAGTAGTAATTATCAGCAAAAAATGTGCATAAAACACCTAAAAGAAAATGCGGCTATGATAGGCCAACATCAATTGTATACTGCGAAGAATTCGATGGCAATAAATTTATTTATTGAATAATGACTACTTATTTTTACAGCGCTGGAAACGAGCACTGAAACTTTGAGCAATGTCATTTTAAAAACATCGCGAATGAAATAAACAACTATGGAATTTTCAGAAAAAAGATTTTTTTTTCTTTTTTTTTTAATTCAATGTGAAATAATTGAATTGAATTAAATCGTTTCCTTTTCTATTTTTTTTTACTAAAGGTATGATTGATATTATGATTAATGGATAAAGCGATTGTTTAAGTTTTTTAAAAAATTATTATTAAAAAATGCGACGTCGGCGCCGAAGTGAAGCCATAAATCGCCTCCGGAAGGAAAGCGCTGAGACACGCAGGCGTACAAACGCCACAAGTGTCGAACCAATAAAATTTTAAAAACAAGTGAAATTGTATTTTTTTTTGTAATAGGTGAAGCTATATGTGAGGTAGATCGCATTTTTCAGAAATGTGCGTGCTAAGATGCGATTAAAATTAAATATCATGTACAAGCCAATATTCTTCAACCAAATCTACAACAGAAATTTGAACGTTTACTGCAACTATCAGAGAAAAATTCTCCCGCCCCTAAACACGTAAGTTTCTTGTTCTTCATATTTCTTGGTGTAGGTTTCTTGTTCTTCTTATTTCTTTGTGCAGGTTTCTTGTTTTTGATATTTCTTGGTGTAGGTTTCTTGTATCATTAATTAGCTCACGTAATTGTGTAAGTATTTAACTTCCAGAATTTTTGTTCCCATTTTTGGTATTCCATCATAGTTTATAAACAGAACTAATTGTTATTTTGCAACCAATTCTATGTTTTCCCACAACATTAAACAAGCAAACGCACATACGTCTAAAAATGTTAATTCAGTATACAAGTTTTCAATAAACAGATATAATCGCCTGCATGGGGGGTGTAATGTATTTTTGCGAGGCTACTTAATAATTTGCTTTTCTGATCATTAACTTCGCGCCAAATCAATTTGGACAGGAAAAGAACGAACGTAATACTCTATGCTAATTTGCAAAGCCGTCGGCAAAAGTCCTCAATTTGTTCAAAATTTTCTGCTAATCAATAAAAGAAATCTATTGAAATTCTATACAAACAAACAAACAATTTGGCAATTTGACAACAAAAAGTAGCAACATCAGTAGTGAGAGTAAAGCATATAAATAAATAAATAAATAAATTCAGGTTTGTTACATTTTCAAATTTTCGTTTTATTTAATAAAGAGAATTTAGTTTCCATGGCATTAGGGATGCCAAAATAATCCCATAAATTGAATCAAAACAAACAACTGGCATCACTTCTTTTCCAACTATTTTGTTTACTTTTTTTTGCTATTTCTTTTAGCCCATTTTCCTTCATATCTGGTGTTTTAGTAATAAGAAAGAAAAAGAAACTCTGGCCACCTCACTACCATTATGAAAAAGGGCTTAACATTTCGCTCATCTGAGAAAATAACAAAAAGGAATTTGTAAATATTTGCGAGTAACACATTTGTGTTTTAAAAGTTGTTTATTTAACAAAAAAAATATACAATTATGGAGTCTTGCTCTGGTGAGCATGTGTTACCACAGCAGCAACAAACAGGCCATCCTGCGAACACAATTGGTTTTATAACTCAAACTGAAAGTTTATCAAGTTCGGAATACCAAATGCAAAAACCAACTACACATTGGAGCATTGAAGCAATGCCTTGGAAAATGCCACCGCTTACTGAACAAGAAGGAAAAGTCATGAAATTTACCGCTTCATGCGGTGAAAGCTTTAGAAGGAATACTTTGCGGACCGCTCTATTAAACCACAAACGTAAATCAGATCTAAACATGTTACCACCAATGTAAGTAAATGCGACCTTATAAAAATTGAAAGATATTTCTTCGATTTTCTTACATGATATAGGCCTGCAAAGCAATTTATATCCGAGGAAAAATTTACTGCTCATTTTAATGGCTTACACATATCCAGCGATTACATTCAACACAACGCATGCAGCAGTTCGGGCGATGCTGCTTCCATTACTTCAACAGCAGTCACTGGCAAAAATTTTACAAATCTCACCTATGCTGACTACCAGATAACAGCGAAAGAGTTGGAAGAGAAACTTCGGAATGTTAGTCGCATTACATTATGCGAGGAATTGAAAAAATTTCAGGAGCAACAAAAAAAGACTGCTTACTTGCCCGAGGCATTATTTAATCGTATTGAGAAACCGTGCACGGCTTTAGTGTTGTGGCAGCCACCGCCAATTCTGAATTTGCTTAAGGATCAAACCGCAAATAAAAATAAAAATATTCCGGAAGAGATAAAAGCAAATGATGTCGAAATTACTGACGAAGATTCAATTGAATTGGCTCCTGAAGAATCAGTTGAAATCGATGATTTTATCGATAATAATAACACATGTAATGTGGATTTTAATGTAAGGCCTGACGGTATGGACGAAGATTTGTAGTTTTAGTTATTTTTAAATATATAACATTCGAATACGAATTTTACGACATTTGAGTTTTATTCATTTACCACTTACGTAATGTGATTTTGTTACTTTTTTATAATAAATAAATCTATTCTTTCATTTTTTGTTCTTCCGAATTTAACGCATTGTCTTTTGCTCCCAGCTTTTTTTTGTTAACAAAAGCTGGATATCTTGCTATGAAAATAAACAAAAGCTGGATATCTTTCTATGAAATAAAACGAAAGCTCAGGAAAGCTCTCCCCACAACATTGTTTGTCTACATTTCTATGGAACGTCCTGCCTATAACCTATCATAACTTTACCATCCTGATAAGAATTAATTGCGTTTCGGTTTATTATTATTTATTATATTTATTCTCAATTGATAAACACAACAATTTAGTTGCGCCCCGGTTTATTCTCAATTTATATATACGCTTATTCTCTAAAGGGGCACAATCCATGCAAAACAAATGAGAACGAATATACGCTTATTCTCTCTATATATATCAAGGAATTCAACCATTGGAGAAATTAAGGCAGCATACTATAACTGCCGTACGCAATTTTTTTGCTAAAAGAGAACAAATTTAGATTAATATGTGAACGGATGCATATTTATTTTGTTAATGAAATTTAAACATTTTCTGTACATGTAGGAGACAAATTGATTGGAGGATTGTCCTTCCTTTGAATATTTAGAGAACTTTTATTCTATGCAATAAGAGAAAATGCTTTCTTTGTACATAGATTGACAACACATTTGAGGCCCGCTATGTTAAAAATAAACGCAAAGCTATGTTAAAGAAGATGAACAAGTCAATTGTAAACAAATTTCAGCTCATATGAGAGTAACTGGCTCGCTCATTTAATTACTCTCATACGAGCCGAAATTTGTGCTTTTCTGCGTCGAACGCTCTCTCTCTTTGATTCTGCAAGTTAAATTTCATTTGATTTTAACAGCCAATTAGAATTATATACTTGATAAATGTGCATAATATATGTATGTCGAGCGAATTAATCGATTTTGGGACAGTAAGATCGTATAAATAGACTTACTCAAGGACTTTTAAGCTAAATCCGAAATTAGAAGTACGGCGTCTTGAATGGAGCGCGGACGTGTGCAATGATCATAAGAAAGCTCTAAACCCTAAACCACTACTGCCAGAAGTATTTCCCGAATTAAAGGCTACCAAATTAAAATTGAATCGTGGCGGCAATATGCAATTTAAATTTGCCGGCTGTCGTCCCATTATCATAAAGGCGAAGGAAAAAGATCACAGCAGATCTGTGATATTGTCACATGAAATTTCAATAGCTAAGAGAATACTTTTCGGCCCGCTATTCAGTGAGAAACGAATAATTCCATTAAGCAGTTATTATTAACTCAGAATATGAAAACTTCAAGAAAAAGGAAAATGTTGTAACATTATGCTTACACCTTTTCCATTTATTTAAATATTCCATTAACACAAAATTTTGACTATCTGCATACTATGACTTTTTTTCTCTTTTGGATTCAACAGACTCTTATTCTCACATCTTTGGAATTATTGAGAATTATTTTCAGTTGAAGGCAAATTTTTATACGCTTACTCTCGCATGCGCGCAATTTTTATACAAATACTTGAACAGTATTAAAAATTGTAAACAAATTGGACCCTTACGAAATAAAATTCAGTTAATGCTTTTATTTTGGAGAGTAAAATGTTACTTCTGAGAGTAAAATTTACTTTTTTGTACATTTCTTATGAAAACTGCTTTTGGCTTTGCTGAGAGTAAAATTTTTTTTCTCCACTTATTATTTATAAATGTTTTTTTTTTGGAAAATTTTATTTTTTTATATATATTTTAAATACGCATTTTTTAAAAATGCCCGCATTTAATTAATAATAAAAAAAATTTTTTGTTTTTAATAATTATATAAAGCTAAATTAAATCAAATTAATAAAAAAAATAAATATATATAATAAACTGAAATTTCTTATATAAAAATGTAAACTTATTAAACTTATATTAAAAAAACTGCCATTAAAAATAATATAACCTATCAAACGTGCAGTAATATAAACGAATAAAGTTGATTATTAATACAAACTATATATGATAATTAAATTTATTGCATACGCCAATGTACATTTGTTTTGCTTGCTTATGCAGACGCAACATAATAGAAAAAATATCCCCGACCATAAATATCCCAAGTAATAATTCGCGTCTTTTTCTTTTTTTTGTATGAAATGAATAAAGGTGACCAGATTGTCTCGTTCTAAATTTGGCGCGATTTGTATATAATTATAAAATAATTTTCTTCTTCCATTTCCATAAATAAATAATTTTATTGCATTGGCAAATACATTAAAAATATATAAATATATGAAAACAAACCTGTAATCTGGTCACCTTAACTGCATGTATTGCGCGGACATGAGCAAAATAAAAGGAATATGAGTCAAAACGAACGACTGTGAAAAACGAAAAATTAAAAAAGAGTGCTTTGCATGCGGTTTGATGAGGTACGATGAAAAACAATGTTTTCAGTGATTTAATAAAAGAAACGGGGAAAAGAGAGAGAATGGGAGAGATTGAGAGAACGACCATTGTGTGATTGTTGGTATCGGTTGGCTCAGTCAGTGGAAAAGTTTATCCGCGACAAATTGAAAAAGTTTATTGCAAATTTATCCTAAAAGCATCTTTTGCCTCCAATAAAATCCAATATAAATAAATAAAAATGAGTAAAATAATCTAATAAATTTGTTTAAAGGTGCGGATGTGGTTTAGCGCAGCTCGCACAAGTTTTTTTCGTATCAAAAGAATTAACGAAGCAAAAAAAAAATTCGATATATTGTGTGGAAAACGTCATCCTAAAAGTAAAAATTTACGAAAATAATTTATAAGAAATAACTGCGTTTAAGTGTGAGGAAAGCAACAATGCTTTGATTATTGCTGGAAATGATTAAATTAGTTACAATTAAAATCCAACCAGAGATAAACAAAAAAAAAAAATGAAATGTGCCTGTTTGCAAAATAAAATAGATTCAATAGCGTAATCATAAAAAAAAAAAACAAAAAGCTTAAGACTGAAAATGAAAATCTCGTCATCGTCGTCATCATTGAGTGTTTTAAAAAAGAATGATAATATAGTGTAAGTATAGAGTATAACAAAGCACCTACTAAAAGAAAAGAATAAAAGTAATTAAAAAAAGTGAAAAAAAAATCACAATCACGAAGGGAGAAAAATATTTAAAAATGATTTTTGTCAATTGTTTTAATTAATGCATAAAGTTTTTGTAAAATCGAGTTTATAGATTATTCATTGGAAAATACTAAATAACAAAGATATACTTTACAAGTGTGCGTGACATGGAAAAGTATCAAAAACGTTTTAAATGTAAAACGAAAATCATGCCGCTAATTTCAGAAACAAAAGTCGTTAAAGTGTAGGATTTATGAACGTTCATGCATACATACGCACATATATCTACATATAAGAACATATACAAGTACATAAAGATGTATATGCATACATATGGAGTATAGTTCTTTTAGTAGTTTTAAAAGCAATAACAAAAAAAGGTATATATGCAGAAAAGAACGAATTAAATCGACGGCATGTAAACGTTAAAATAGACGGGAAAGAAAATAACTACTAACAAAATATAAATACATTCAGCCGGCCACTGTTAAAAATCGACTGAAAAACTGAGCAAACATGTTCTCAATGACCTGTGAAATAAATTCAAACATATGTATTTATACGCATATATAAGTATATAGATGGCTGTAGAATGTAAATGCTCCCATACACTTTTAAGAAGAGTGAGATAAACACCATACCATCTCTAACGATTCAACATTCCACTATTGTATTTATAAAAATACAAATTTAAAAGAATATACCATCAAACATACACGGAGATAGATTTCAGAGAAAGAGACAAAGCAACAGTGATGCCATGTATAAGGAAATTTTTCAAACTTTGCTACAATTAATTGTTAAATTAGAATTTTTTCAAGTATTTAAAGTTGTGAAAATTTAATTGCATATTAATTTTCTTAATTACAGAAAAATTATCTTGTATTCCTGAGAAAAATGAAAATGATACTGTTTTGTCTTTTTCTATGAAAATGAGTAAAGTACGACATGACTTGAAAACGAAACACTTACTTACTGTACACCAACATAAGTAGAAATAGGTATGTGTGGTTGAGTTCAATAAGTTGCAAATCTCTCTCTCTCTTATGTTAAAAAATGATTTACTCTCTCTCTCTCACTTTGGCTTAGATACATACGCAGTAGAACACATGGTTTAAAATGAGTGAACTAATCGCTGTAAACGCTGCAGCTAACGTAAAAAAAAAAAATGAAGAAAAAAGTGCCAACAAACGACAGTTTGCTGACAATATTACCGATCGCTTTAGTTAACTAGATGTAGTCGTTGTGTATAGTTCTTGTAGTTCTTCTCACCGTAAGTGAGTTTTTGACGGAAGTCAATTTTATAGTATTTCACTTATAGTGTTTTTTTGTTGCTTTAATTTTTAGTATATAGTGTCTTGCTCTCCACTTACGCGAGATTAATAAATATGCATTTGCTATTTAAGCATTGAGGGAATGAATGTACCTATATATGTTTGTGCGTGTAAAACATCATCAATAATTTATTAACTAATGAGGCAATTGAATTAAGATACTGATAAAGGAAGGCGATAAAAGTTTAAACGTCATTTTTTGTTTTCTTTTCTAAATATTTAAAAAAAATTATAACAACAAACAATGTTTAGCTTGCAATATTGCGTTAATTTAACTGATAAGAGCATTAAGATAAAATGCTAAAACAAAAATATATATACAGAATTGAAAGTGTGAAAAAACAATAAAGATTCTTATGTCTATTTAATAATTTTTAATAATTTGCAGTAATTGTGTTTAACACCTTCCCAAAATTCACGACGACGAACCACAACTTCATTAAAAAAAGTGTATTTAAAGACTAAAGAAAAATTAAAGTAAATGGCGATGGCCGAAACAAGGGAATCGCCCGGAAAGCAACAACAACAACAGCAGCAGCAGAAAAGCGGCCAAAAGCGTCAATTGGTAAGCCCTTTTTCTTGTTTAATATTGTAGTAAACAATTAAAAAAATGTACAATTAAAAGCTTTTTT